AATAAAAATTATTTAGAAATAAAATCAGGGGCAGAACTCTGGCGACAAGAAAGAGGATGTTTATACCACTTCCCAAGTTGTCTTGATAAACAATTGGAAATATCAGAAACCAGGACAGGTCCAGGAAAAAGAAGTAGATGTCTTTACATCAGAATTCAGAAATAGAGGACATTCTGCTCCAGATCCTTATTTCTATGATGTAGATAAGTATTTTGGGGAGAAACTACATTAAATTTTAATGTCTTTGGTTTGAATGTGCTTAAGTCTAATATTCTTTAAATTTGTGTACAAGCTCAGTGCTGTATATACTTTAATATTTACATTTTTATCAGGTTGTTCAAGATGATCCTTTCTTCTAAATGTCTTGATATTACATTTTTTTCCCCTGACAAATCCTTTGAGATCTGTAAAACTTCGAGTTTAGGGGATTTGTGACAATGTGTTTTTTTGTGATTTCAATGCACCAGCTGTTCTGTATTGTAGCTTTGCAGCTGTAGTGATTCATGCAGGATTGCGTGATTACAATTTTAAAATTAGAAAGTAATTTCTTCTGAAATTCTTTCTTAAAATTTGATCATGTGATTGGTGGGGAAGAAGCAGTTATTTATTTCATTTTGACCTTTCTACTTGCTGGAATCATAGCCTGGAGTTGATTGGGAGAGTGACAGAGGCTTCATGAGTTCATAGGAATTGATTCAACAAACTTTCCTGTCCTTTCTTTTCCTCTCTGTATTAACAAAACAAAACAAATTGCTAGTTTCCTTTTCAGATATATAAAGCAATTCATAATATTATTAAATACTAAATAAGCAGCTAAAGAACAGCAATAGTTAAGCAAGCCTTCCACTCCCATCTCCTCCCAACCCACCTTTGTGGTGAATATTGTGAAGAAACAGTAGATCAGTGAACATTTTTAGTGATTTATGTGCTTCTGTTCAAACATTTTAAAAGTTAACTCTTCCACTCAATAAAGCTTACAATGTGAACTAAATGCATCCATTGCTGATTTTAGATTTCCTTCTTACTTAAAGTTAAGCAACAGGATCAATTATTATACGGCTGAGTGTCTCCCTTGTGCTGACAGAATACGGTCTTCCTCTCTTCAGCCTCTCTTGTAATGTTAGTAATTTATCCAGTTTTGAGACTGCTCAACTCCAAAAATGACTCTGGGCAGTTTCAGAAAATTAAAAACAGAAGAAATGTATATTAAAAAAAACACCAAAAAAATATCCTGAACAATTAAACAAAATCTTCACATTACCACAGAGGATCCCAACAAAGGAGCTCACCACATGAGGCCAGAGACATGTTTTGAGGAGTTCTGTTGAAAGTGGATAAGGTGGGAGTGAAGTGAATCTCAAGGGAGGATGCTGTTATAGAGGGCAGGCACAGCAATAGGGAAAGGCTATTTTCTGGGTCCTGCTAGATTATATTTCTTAATCAATAGGACCCAAAGCACTCCACTGTGTCATATTGTACAGTATAGGTAGGAACCATGGAAGATGGCTAGTCATATGACATATAGGGCTTTATAGAAATAAAACCACCATGAACTACCATATACCAAAAAGTTTCCTGGTAACCAATGAAGCTGATGAAGCAAATATTACATGGGAATAGGGAGTACTAGCCATCAGTGCTTGTGCTATTGCATTCTGGACCAGCTATAGTTTCTGAGTGATTTTTAATCATCGTAATACTCCAGTTGCAAGGTGATCAAATCATGAATGACCACAGCTGCCATCTGCTGCCCAAGTAGGAGCTGAGAGTTCCAGGAAGACTCCCCGATTATGCACTAGTCCAGAATGGGGGAATGCTATTGCATTTAGAGTCAAGGATGGAAAGTCCCCAGAACTACCCTGTTTCCCCCAAAATAAGACATCCCCTGATAATAAGACCAATCGGGCTTTTGAGCGCATGGCAATAAGGCCAAGCTCTTATTTCAGGGTTCAAAAAGTCTTGTTTTCGGGGAAACACGGTAGAAGATCCAAAAATCCACAGCCCCTCAAAACTATTATGATTGAATGCAAGTCTGTTCCTCCCCATGAAACCCTGACATTCCCTAATTCCTGATTGGAATTAGCTAACAGAAAGGAGAACTGCTAAAATGCTGTATTAGCCATTGTTACTCCCTTCAGCCAGTCTAGAATAAATCTTGGTAAACCAGATTTATTTATATAATTTGTATGGCTGTGCTCTCAACAATAGACTTTGGATGTTGAACAATATTAAAGTAAAAACAATTGCAGTAGTACAAAAATTTAAATACACAGCAGCTGAGAAAATAAATCCATAATCACTAATACAAACAAAAAATGGGTCCTTGCATATATTTGTAGCAACTGGCCCAGAGACAGAGCCAGGCTTTTAGGGCCTTATAAAAAGGTCAGCAGAATATTGAAGATCATTCATGCACTAAGGATACTTGGTTCTAAACTGATGAAGGACTGTTCCAATAACCAAATTTAGGTATTAAGCGGTGGGTAAGAGTATTGGGTCCTCTGACACCGCCCTTTCCAAAGCAGAGCTTTCAGACTCAATCTCTCCCCCTCACCATTCTGATTGGAATTAGCTAACAGAAAGGAGAACTGCTAAAATGCTGTATTAGCCATTGTTACTCCCTTCAGCCAGTCTAGAAGAATCCATGGCTGATGGTTTCAGAGAGATCAGTAATGGTCAGGATGCCTGCACCATCCATATCTTAGTTTTGTCACAGGTCATCAATAAGCACCACCAAGGCTATCTTAGTTCTATATTCTGGCCTGAATTCTGACTGAAAAGTGTCCAGATAATCCATTTCCTCTAGAGCAGGGGTCTCCAACCTGTGGGCTGTGGCCCACAACCAGAGTGGGACTATTAGCAACTGGGCTGCATGAGTGATGGGCTGGCGTGCATGGTGTGCAACTCATGTGAGCAGCGGGCACCGATGGATGGAACCTTACTTGCTCAAGTGGGGGGGCACTGGTGCGTGCAGCTCCATGAAACTATGCCCGCACACATGTACGCATCTGCTCTTTGCACAAAACCATCCCCCTCCCCCATGCCAGGCTCCAGCCGGAAGGGTTGGGGAACACTGCTCTAGAGTCATATTTAATATGTAGTTAGCATGACCTGCTTTAAAATTTTTTAGGTGTTCAGTGTTTACCTTGTCCTTCCAAATAATGATTAGGTTTACACATAACATTAAGTGGTTAAATAAGTGGTTTGGTTCAGTGCATGAATTTAACTGCCATTTGGTATAGACTATTTAATAGAATAATAATTCAATCTATCTGGGATTATACTAGTGATATACAGAATTTCCCAAATTTAGTTCGCTTTCAGTTTGTCATGTACTCAAATGACAACCTGTTCTCCAAATTTTATGGAAGTATTTAAATTGCTTATTAAAACGATAAGTCCTGTTATGTGTGCTTCAACTTTCTTTTAGAAATGGGCAGTGGAATAAACATTAGCAGAGTTGAATTGCACATGTATTGCATGGGGATGGATTCTTTTTTGGCAGATCATGCTATTTTGTTTTGCAAAGTAATCTATGGTGGATTTTACATTCTAGCAAGAATTTCTAATCTTCTCTTTACAAATTCAATTTTTGAGTTTTATTGTTTTGGAATCCAGCCAATTGGAAATGTTCTGATGGAATTTTTCAAGTTAGGCTGTTTTTTTTTCCTGAGCTGAGCACAAAAATATGGTTTCTGTTTCGTTCAGACCCCAATAGATCAATTTTTGTTGCACAGCAGCAATGAATATGACTAGAATAGAATGAGATTTGTGATGCATCCCCTTCTAACACAAGGAATGATTATCAGGTTTCTAATCTTTCCTTTTGGACTGTTATTAAGACAGTAATTGGTGAACAACTATAGAACATTGTCGGGGGAAATACCTCATCTAGACTATTTTTAAGCAGGATTCAGGCCAATGGAAAGGACACTGTTTTCTTTTCTTTATTAACTTTGTCAGAATGTAGGGGGGAGGGCAACACTTCTGGTCCTTATGGAACTCTCAGCAGCCTCCCATGTCATAATACTGTTCTGGATGGCTTGTGACAGTTGAGGATTAGAGGCACTATGTTGCAATGACTCCATTCCTATCTGAGTACCTTTGGTATAATGTTTGTCTATGATTTTCAGTTACACAACTTGTTGGAACTAATTGAACTTTGCATTCCTATCTGTCATTGCATAAATCTGTCATTGCATTCCTATCTGTCATGGCGTCCAGTATAGCTTGAAATACAGTGTATCAGGGGTGAAATGCTCCCAGTTCAGACCGGATCACCCGATCTGGTAGTATGGTTCGGAGAACCGGTAGCAAAAATCCCTGCGCCTTCCCCCACCACCACCATGCCCAGCTGAGCCGCACGATCATCAGAGGCTTCTTTTTTTTTTTTACTTTTCAAAGCATTTTTTCTGCAACTTCTTCTGGGTAAGAGGTGGTTTAAAAAATGCTTTGAAAAGGCTCTGATGATCAGGCAACACAGCTGGGATCGTCAGAGCCTTTTCAAAGCATTTTTTTAACCACCTCTTCCGCTGAAGAGGTTGCAGAAAAAAATGCTTTAAAAGTCTCTCTGATGATCCCAACTGAGTTGCCTGATCATTAGAGAGACTTTCAAAGCATTTTTTAAAACGATCAGGCAACTCAGCTGGGATCATCAGAGAGACTTTTAAAGAATTTCTTTCTGCAATCTCTTCAGCGGAAGAGGTGGTTAAAAAAATGCTTTGAAAAGGCTCTGACGATCCCAGCTGTGTTCCTGATTGGCAAAGCATTTGCATTTGCAGAAAAAATGCTTTGAAAAGTTAAAATTAAAAAAAAAAGTTTGGCCACGCCCACCCAGTCACATTACCCCCCCACCAAGCCACGCCCACAGAACCGGTAGTAACAAATTTTACATTTCACCCCTGCAGTGTATTATATTGGGGTGGAATGTTCCTCATTTTACTTTTTAAAAAAGGTGTATGAAAGACAATTAATTCACACTTTTTTGTACCTTAATGCAGGCCCAGACTGCTGTTGCATCAAAGGCATCAACTATGAAACCTGCTGAAACAAAGGTATGTCTTCTAAAAAAAGAAGAACAAGTAGTTCTTTCAGTGTCATCTATCCAACTGTGATTTTTTAAAAAATCAACTTTTACAGTGATGGTTGCAGCTCTCAGTAATTTTTCCTACCATAGTTTTTAATAAAGAGAGAAGTTGCTGACTGATGTTGGGAACAAATATGAAACTAGTCTATTGCTATTATATTTTGTATATGTTGCAATATTTTCAGGATCAGACTCAATAAAGATAATAGAAGTTAAAGCTTTAAATATATTTCTTTTTAATTATGATAGGCATTCTATATTCACTGAATATTCAAGGTAGAAGAGACGAGAATGGTGAGGGTGGCTCCTTATATATACAAGGGGTGGAGCTAGGAATGGGAGTGGTAAGTTATGAATACATTAAAGTCCAAAGAATAAGTTAACCTCTGATGTTCCATATATACATTATTTACACATTGGAGAATAAGGCATTTACATCTGACAGTATAGATTAAAGTAAACTGTACTTCTGCACATTATTGGTATGAACTTTGTCATAATTTACTGTGAAAGTTTTCTGCGTTTAACTCATGAATTTGTTTGGTGTAAGTTTTCAACTGTATTATTGTTTTGGATGCACAATCACATTAATTCCTTTTAAGAAGGTTCATATGAGAGGATACTGCTATTAGCATTATTTAAGAACTGTTCTGATTTATGAGACAGCATTTTTGCTATTATCTACCACTGGCATAGGGGAATTTCTCTCTGGCTCTCCCTTCCTAACCCCAAGCCCAAATTAAAGAAAGAATAATTCCATATAGTGACATGTGATACAAACTGATCAATTTATCAGCGCCTTTGTTACCATTTGGGAGTTTATCTGGAGAAAAATGATTTTTTAATATTTTTTTTAAAAAAATAATTCTATTTATAATAGCAGTTTTTGAAGTCTTCAATTACTTCGTTTTAACTGATTTTAAAAATAATGTGACCAAAGAAATATTGTCAAAAATGATATTACAGCAAGACAGGATAATCAAAAGGCTTATGTATATACATATTTGTCACTTGCTGGTTCCTCAATTTAATTATGAGCCAGAATCTAAGATAACTATTTCTCTGCTTTTAACATTGGTTGATCTTTGAGATTGGTGCTCAAGTGGTCATCATATAAATAGACCGAGTGATTGCTCTATTTATAGCATAATGTGATAACCACATAGATTTAAAAAGATTGGCAGAGCCATCTAAATTGTAGGATTGCTAAATGGTTAAAACTTGGACCTGCAGATACATTCTTACATTCATAGGAATAGATTTAGTGTTTTAATTGACTCTCTGTGAAATGCTTTTGACATAGGAGCAAAAGGAGTCACTGAGAAATACAAGGGATTGTCAAGCTGTTCAAACCAACTTTCAGAAGGCCTAATGATTATTCTTCATATAACTTGTAGTTGAATCTGTTGTCATGAAATTAGAGTTGGGTATCTTGTTTTACGAAGCAATTTTTGCTTTCTTCTAAAGGAGTTCTGCTTTGTGTTCTTCTAATGCTTGGAGAAATAAAATGAGGGAAGTTGTATGTTAATCTTAGGCTTCATAATGCTTGGTTTATCAGGAGCTTTCTTATAAAAGGGCAGCATTTTGGACTTCGTTGGGGAAATAATTATCCTTTTCCTACGTTACTGTAATTACTGCAGCTATCCTATTTTTAAGAAACAAAAGTTAATATATGTCTATGGAGATTTTCAGTCATCCAGGTCATGGTTGTCCCAAAGGTGCTTTCTTTTTTCAAGAGGCAACTGGATTTTCTGGTTTTTTCTTTGCTTCTCATCCAAGAAGCTTTTTCAGCTCTGACTGGATGGTGGGAAATGGAAGGATTTATACTCCTTGCAGACAGCTGGTCATTTGCATTCTTTTAGCAGGTTGTTAAGGTCACCTGGAGGTTTATCTGTGTCATCAGGATCACCTGAGTGGTGCAAATTGGTATGGAGCCTTCTTGGAACTGTGGACCTGTTGAAAGGACACAGTCTGCAAGGAGTATCCTTCCATTTCCCACCATCCAGTCAGAGCTGAAGAAGCTTCTTGGATGAGAAGCAAAACGTCTTCAAAGAAAAAAACATAGAAAGTCTAGTTGCTTCTTGGGAAAAAAAAGCACCTTTGGGACAAAAAGTTACTATAATTTCCTCAATGATATCTTTTCCTATACTTCTTTAGAAACCGGTCACATTTTTATATAGTAGGCACTGATATTGCAAGTTCCTTAAATAGCATGAAGAAATTTTACAAGAAGATGTTACTCCTGTTTCTCCAAAAGAGAGTCACTAAGGTTAATCTTCTAGATACTTATATCATTAATTCTATCCCATGTATGTTGAATGCAAATTATTCAAACAAAAGTATAATTATTGTGCAGATAGGTCTAGACTTATGGCCGCAATCGGGATTGGAACTTTTATGCTAAGTGATGAAGTCATTAAATGAATGGCACCCAATTTTACTACTTTTTTTGCTTTATTCATATTTTAAGGAAATATGAATTCTCCCATTGTCTTCGATTGTTGGGAGCCCCAACAAGTTGCAGATGGGGATCACGTGACCCCAGGATGCTGCAACTGTTGCAAATACATGCTGCCAAGGATCTGAATATTGATCACATAGCTGTGAGGACACTGTGACAGTTGCAAGTGTGAGGAAAGGTCATAAGTCACTTTTTTGACAATGTCATAACTTTAAATGGTCATTAAATGTATGGTTGTAAATTAAAGTCTATTTGTAACTGTTTGTCAATAAGTTTAGAGTTTTAGGTACTAACGTACACTCCAAAATTGGGTTCCACTTAGCACTAGCAATAGTATTTAGAGTTATATACCACTTCACAATGTCTTGCAGCCCTCTCTAAGCAGTTTACAGACTCAGCATATTGCCCCCAACAATCTGGGTCTTTATTTTACCGACCTCGGAAGGATGGAAGACTGACTCAACCTTGAGCCAGTGAGAATCGAACTGCCGAATGTCTTATCTACAAACCAAAGCTCAGAGACTTAAACTTATGTTGTTTTATAAATGATGATGGAACAGTTTACCATTTCCCGTCAGTCATTGTTCTTAAAAAATTCAAGGGTCAGCTAATCTGCAGGTGACCCATTTTTCATGTTTGACTCAAATTTTTGAAAGTTATCTTATTTGTGGCCTTACCCACAATTATGTATGGTTATTCTCTGTGCCCAGTGGCATTCTGAGTTTCTGTTTCCCAAACGACAGTTAATTATGCCATATAATCATATAAAAATAAGGATGCTGTAGCTGGCACCTGCAAAATTCGAAGTAAGCACTACAATTTAACAAATTACACCATCTTAATAGGTCTATATCTAAGGACAGTCATGTGACTGTCTAGTAAACAAGCAACCATACCTGGAATGTGTAATCTGGAATTGTTGCACAATAGTGGCATGTTAAATGGTGGGGATGAAATATAATTATGTGTTATATGTATTATAAGAGCCTGGAAAATTATTGCACTATATTATTTCCAAAGAATATAATCTGGACTAAGATAGTATGATGGCTGCAAAATTCCAGAAAGAGGTGGCATCAACAAAAAGAAAATACCTCTGTAATGTGGCATTTCTCAAAGAATAATCCTGCAAGATACACTCACGCTGTTAGATGTATTTAGTAATCCTGTTTCTAGGGTTATTGTGGGATTCCATCACAATAAACAGCATTGCAAATAATTGTTTTATGACTGACTATTTTCAAACCTGAACTCCCATCCAAATTAACCTAAATTATTCTGTCACCCAGCCTGCTACAATGAACTTTGCTTTGTTCTGCATACTCCTAAATTTTAAGATTGCTTGAATCTAGAACGGCATTGATACTATTGCATAACTTGTATTAAGGGCAAAAAAGAAATAGGTTATTTATGTTTATTCATCTCTAACCATAGCAAAGAGAACAAAAAGTTATTACCCCTCTCAATAAATACAATTATTTTACACATGACACTTGGATGTTAAGACATCCCCTGATAATAAACCCAATCCAAATGGCAATAAGGCCAAGCACTTATTTTAGGGTTCAAAAAAATATAAGATGGTCTTATTTTCGGGGAAACATGATACATAGATTTGATATTAAGCTGCGAGGGAACTTTCAGATGTTGCTGAACTACTATTTCTATCATCCATCACTATTGTCATTATGGCTAGGGCTTTTGGGAATTGTAATCAGCCAGATCTAGGATAAGATAGTTTTCATGTTTGCATGATAAAGGTAAATCACTTTACTTTTTGTTAAAAAGTAAATTGATTGTTCCAGCTGAGTTCAGAAATGGCCAAATAAGTATTGGGGTGGGGGGTGGGGGGTGGGGAATCCTGCTAATGAAAAATCCTGCTAGTGAAAGAACAATCTATCAACGAGCTTTCCGCAGCCCAAATTATGCAATGCTAAATATTAAATAAAGTAAGCACATTGAATGTGACCTGTTAATGCAGTTCTCTGCACAATAATTTATAAGTGAGTTCAACTGAGCTGATTGCATTTTCTCTAGTAAATGTTCATTGAACCACAGTCTAAAGGGAAATAACCAAGATAGAAACCAAAGAAAATAAACATCTCCCAGAATTAAACCAACAGAACCATGAGAAAATTGAACTATTCAATGACCCTCAGTAGCTTGGTAACCAGTTCTTTTGGCTTTTTTGGGAAACCAGCATGCTTATAAGCAACATTTATAATGCTAAGGTATGCAGTGTTTGGGATATGATTCAGCAGTTTATTTCATCCTTTGTTTTGAATGGTGAGGGCACAATGAGCTCATATAAAAGCCATACAGAAGTAGTTTAATATGATTAGAAGGCTGAGATTCCAGCTTTATATGAGGATGGCAATAAAATGACATGTGTATCCAAATAATGTTCCATTTAAAAATATATATTTTAGCCTTTCATTTTTTAAAATCAAGATGTTACTACCTATATATCTACTCTCTTATACTTTGGTACATTTATTATCAGTCTGCGTGCTGAATGTTGTACTTTCTTATATTTTTTTATTATCATAGACACATGAGGTAAAGTTTTTTAAAAAAAACCTTTTCCATATTGTCAATTCAATATTTTATTATGGCCACAGAATAAAAATTAAAACATTAAAACAAAACAAAATAAAACAGCATGAGTGTATTACAATTAATGGTGGGATCATGAATGGGTCTCCAGAATCTGCCTAATTTTACAGACAATATAGCTGAATTTAGCTACAAAGAAACTGTATTCTACTGTTCTGATAGTAAAAGCTGTACATAAAAGAGATCAGATTTTCCTTTGTAAGGTAAGGAATTATAAAATGAGCCTGTGAGACCTTATATAATAGGGACACAGTGCCTCAGTGGCTAAGATACTGAGCTTGTCGATCGAAAGGTCGGCAGGTAAGCGGTTCAAATCCCTAGTGCCGCATAATGGAGTGAGCTCCTGTTACTTGTCCCACTTCTGCCTAGCAGTTTGAAAGCACGTAAAAAATGCAAGTAGAAAAATAGGGACCACCTTTGGTGGGAAGGTAACAGCGTTCCGTGCGCCTTTGACGTTTAGTCATACCGGTCACATGGCCACGGAGACGTCTTCGGACAGCGCTGGCTCTTCGGCTTTGAAACGGAGATGAGCACTGCCCCCTAGAGTCAGGAATGACTAGCACATATGTGCGAAAGGAACCTTTACCTTTACCTTATATGATATAATTATCTCACTGGTTAGTGAAGGGAGATCGGATTGTTTAAGAAAATATTCCTGGATAAAAACAGGGGCTGCTGGATTTCCTGATGTTTATTATGTTGTTTAAATGCACTAAGTGTACACTCATAGGCCATAAGGGAGCTCCTTTTTCAAGAGGCCAAGATGTTGGAGTTTTTGTGAAATAGTTCTAACCCATGTTGATTTATAATTTATCCTCCATAAAGAGAGCCTCAAACCTGTGGAAAAGAACATTAATTTTAGCCAGTGTGCTATAATGCAAGCTCATGCACCTGTTTCGACGTTGGACATACTGTCTGGGTGAACATGCATAGTCAGTGGTGCTGTGCACACTCAGCTGTTTCACTGACAATCCCTGTGCCTCTTTAATTGTAGATATTCCCATTCTGCATTTTCGGCAATGGCCCTACACTCTTTTTTATGTCAGACTTGGCAAATATTCACTTCCAAAATGGGCCAAGATGTCAAGTGGCAAGTTGGCAAAACTTCCATTCATTAATCCAGGGAAGATGTTACATTTCATAGAATAAAATGATTTAAGTGTATTAATTATGTTTACTTTATACTCATGTACTCAGTAGAATACTACGTTATCTAGATCTTTTATATATCAATCTAGGGAATAAATACAATTTTTTTTCAGTTGAAAGGACTTTCTTAGGAATCTTTGTCCTCAGAAAACAGAAAAATCACCTCATCTACTTAATCTGTAGTCCATACATACATTATTTTCAAAACTCAAGGGGATCAAGTCTGATTTATTCTAAGTTATAGAGTGAGCAGATATGACAAAGAGTTATATATTTCTGGAATGAAATTAGGAACAGAATGAAAGAATTTTATCCTTTGCCTACCCTTTTCCATCCACTATTTTTTTTAGAATTTCTAATTATTCAGAAAAGAGAATTTAAAACTTTTTTAAAGGACAAACTTGACATTTATATATATTTGAAAAGGACAGGTTGTACCATTAGAAATAATACACAATAAGGTTTAACTTGGAGTACAGAAATTGAGGAAACTCAGCAGTTGGAACAAGTTGATATATCAAAATAGTTATTTTAGAATCCACATTTGTCAAGGCAACAAGTCTATAGATTGACTCTGCAGTGCTGTGGCTATGAAGGGGAAAATGTGCTTCAGAGCATCAGTAGCCCTCATATACCATTGCTCAAATTCCTTAAAGCAATTAATTTTTTTATGGGAAACAATATTTTTAGATTAAGGAGTTGCAACAAATGGTACAAATGCCATCACATCTGTTTTAAAATATCTTTATTCTTTCAGTTTCAAAGTGCTTCATGGCCCTAGTCAATAACTGGAATACATAATACGATCTTTGACCAGCTTGGCAAGACCCATAATGTTTGGCTAAATGACACCTAGGAATAAGAATATACCAGGGGTGCTATTCAGCATGTTCTGACAGGTTCTGGAGAACCGATAGCAGATATTTTGAGTAGTTAGAAGAACCGGCAAATACCACCTCTGGCTAGCTCCAGAGTGGGGTGGGAATGGAGCTTTTGCAATATCCTTCCCCAGGAGTTGGGAGGGAATGGGGATTTTGCATTATCCTTCCCCTGCCATGCCCACCAAGCCACACCCACCAAGCCACGCCCACAGAACCGGTAGTAAAAAAACTTTGAATTCCACCACTGGAATATACATACTGTATATTTTTTAAAACTTCACTACATACTTCAATAAAATAAAAATAAGAAATAAGAATCCTAGTTATTTTTGTATCAGTCAACAGAGATATTTTGTTCACCATTTCTTGAGGACAGAAAGTTGAGATTAGTAAGAATTTTCCTTATTATATTTTGAGAAATTTCTTTCCAAGATCCTGAGTTTGTACTCCCAATATTAGGCTTCCTCAAGCCAACAGCAGACACGTGGAGTGGACTCCCAGAAAAGGAAAAGAAACAGGAAGAAGGTGATTCAGATCCTGGGTTGTGTGTGTTTATGCTTGATAATAACAGCAGCCACATTGCTAGCATGTGCAGCACATGTGCTCATTCATTAGTCCTAAACTAATACATTCTAGTTTACTTCTGCCTTCCTTTTGTATGATCACATTGCAATCTCTTCTTATGGCACAGCACACTTTGAAAACGTATCATATAAAAGTAGTCTAATAGTATTTCTTACCATTTAGTCTACTGTGATTAATACTTATGTCCTAGAGAATAATATAGCGTTGCTTTTGGCAAACTTCTTGTCTAAAAGACAAGAAAGTTAGAAGTTTTTGCTTTTCTGCTTGTGTTTGATAACAGTTGTACAGTATTAAAATGTGTGGATGCATTGGAGAAAAGCTTTTATTCAAATTATAAAAAAATTAGTTAATTGAAAGTATAGTAGTCTGTAGAGTTTGAAGTGGGCAATTTATATGTTGCTAATATAGACACTTATTTATTTAAGATGATGTAAAAATAATCATAAATTCAAATTTGCTCTAAATCCAACTTTCTGATTTGAATTTTCTATTTTTTCCTCTAATCCATGATTTAAATTATTCTCATAAATACCATGCTAACATCTCATTGTTTGTTAACTAATACATTTAGATTTCATTTTCTTCATTCTGCTCTTGTCACAGACGGTAAACAATTTTGCCTATGCACCATGTAATTTTGCATATGTAAAGTTAAGTTGTTTTTGTACCATGCAGAGTGTTATTGTTTTTGGCTTTTATTATATGTGTGTTATGTATATTTATAATGTATATGTACATATGTTATGTGTATATTTTTTTTATTCTTGGTTATTAGCCATCCAGAATTTGGTTAAGATGACTGGCTATATAAATGTTTAAAATAAACAAATAAATAAAAATAAACACAGATGTTATAAGACTGTGTTATTTTAAACAGTGCCCAAAGCCATAGAAATAGCTTTGGGGCTTCTTAGTTATAACTTTTTCACAAAAGCTCCAGAGACTTTAAGTTATACAAAGCTTGCAGAAAATCTTCTTGTAGTAGCCATTGAACAATGTAAATTAAGTAATTATTTTTTTAATTTTTTTATTATTCATATTACAGGCAACACAAAAACCAAAGGCAGAACCTGAAAAAGCACTACAAGACAAAAAGGTAGGATGAAAAGCCTTTATTCTGAGTGTACATTAAATACATACAATATAATTTTTTTTCTTTAAAACAGTTGATTGGTTTGTTCCCATGTGTTTACCTGATTTTATTTTGTTCTTTTAACCTTCTCTTATTCATATTAAAGATATTTTTGTCAACAGCTAGTTTCTGAACCAGTTAGGTTTAGAATTGGGAGCATCCTCACAGTCACTGTTTTCTGCTCCTCAAAGAACCTGTGCCTTTTTCTAAGCTTGCATGGTAGCTCTGTGGGGCCCATAAAAATACTTTTTGAATGTAAGAGGTAGCAAAGATGTCCCACCGAGTCAAATACATATTGGGATTTGTGGGATTGCACAGTTTCTGTATGAACCCAGAAAATTCAGATACCAGCCTACGTTCCCTTTTCTCCCTTTTTGATTGGAACAGCTGCAGTTCTGGTTTTCAGCACCTTTAACTTTAATTTTATTGTTAAGCAGAGTGTTTTAAATTTGTTTTTTGAAACTGAGAGCCCTTTTTAATGTAGTGGTAAGGCATCAGGCTAGAAGCCAGGAGACTGAGTTCTAGTCCAGCCTTAGTCATGAAAGCCAACTGGATGATTTTGGACCAGTCATTTTTTTTCTCAGCACAACCTACCTGATAAGGTTATTGATGTGGGGAAAATAGAAAGAGGAAAGAATGTTTGCCACCTTGAGTTAGTTATAAAAATAATAAAGGTGGAATAAAAAAACTTTATTTTTTAAAAATTACTTGAAAATATGCCAGTTATAAATCACAGTAATTTTAAGAAGCTCTTTTCAAGAGAGTTTTAATGTGTATTTGCAGACTTGATTGTTCTCTCCAGGTGTACATATCTGTACTTCACCATAGTGTTCAAACAAGTAATTTTAAAATTCACTGCTCTGAAATCAGCAGAAAGGGGACGAAATGGTATTAAAATATACAAGCATGTGTATAAACACACACTTATTAAGAAACTCAGTCAGAATTAAAACTCTTAATATAATTATAATATAGTATAGTATAAATTAGAGTTTTACCTGATTGTCTTCAGCTGTAATCTTAATCTAGTTTAGGCTCTGGAAGTCTTTTAACAGTTTATAGAGCAGTAAAACGATTTTGTTCAGATTGCAGTGAATGGTGAAAACTCACTGATTCCATATACAACGGTCCAATCTGTGTGTACTCTAGAATAAAAGGAAAAAAAAACAATTGCCAGGTAGGTCTTTACTCTAATGCAAGGGTGTCAAACTCGATTTCATTGAGGGCCACATCAGGGTTGTGTTTGACCTCAGCGAGTTGGGGTGGGAGTGGCCAGGGTGGGCATGGCTAACTCAATGTCATTCATGTCGAGGGTGCCTGTGGTGGCCTGAGTGCTCAGCCAGCAAAAATGGGCTCCTGAGCTCCGTTTGTGGCTGTGACGGCCTCCTACAACCCTCTGCCAGTGAAAACAGAACTCTGGAGGGCAGCGCACAGCCCTCACAAGCTCCGTTTTCGGCTCCGACAGCCTCCTGAAACCCTCTGCCAGCAAAAACAGTGCAGCCCTTCCCAGCTCCGTTTTCACTGGCAGAGGCACTGCAGGCCGGTCCTTCTCTGTTTCCAGGGTGGCCCTGTGGGCCAGATCTAAGCACCCCATAGGTCGGATCCAGCCCACGGGCCTTGAGTTTGACACCCCTGCTCTAACACACAGCAAATGATTAAAATTTCTTTGTTTATCAATCACATGGATTTTTGCTGCATAAATATAAATATCCTATATGATTTTAAAGAATTTATATTTAGGCCTTAAGTGTACCATGCAGAGAGCTAAGCTCTTAAAGAACTGAATAGCAGAATAAACGATTGCAGTTTTGTATTAAAGCTTGTATGAACATTATTTTAAACTACATTAGACTATATAGAAATGAATGGGCTTATATTAATTTAATGCATTTGTTGATTCAGCTTTTAAGTACTTGTTATCTTTAGGGAAATCTGATACTAGTGGAAAGTTAGAATATAAACTATTACCCTCCCCTTGAAGAACTGTGTCCATTTTAGTGGTGGGATTTATATTTTAATAATCAGACAGCGGTATATGACTAATTTGAATATATAACAATTATAATGTGATCACGTTAGAAGATTTATGTCTGCATAGTGTTGAAATTTGTACTGTGTAGAGAAAGAAATAATATTACTTGATTATTTTGTTCATCATGCAGAGCATTCTGTTCTAGAATAAAAATCAGTATAAAAGAGGTTTGATTAAGTTTTCATATTACTGTGTGTGCTGCAGGTAGATGAATCGCAACCTGTCTGTCCAGTTGAAGGGAAGCAGAAAGATCCTGGAGGGGTAATTGACATATTATGATAAAATTATTTTAGATGCAAATTAGTATAAACACATGCATAAAGATTTAAAAATATATTTGTGCAGGCAAAAAGTTCAAGCAAAGATTCTTTAGGGAAGGAGCCTAAGCAACCAAGTTTGGGAAAAGAAACCTCTGGTCAAAATGCCAAGTCAAAACAGTTGGCAACAACTAAAGAAGCAAAGGTAAGGTGATTTTTCTAATGAAAATACTCAAGTAGCATTTCTTATGTTAAGTTTATGATAGCCTTCCCCGAAATGACACACTCCAGAAATTACTGGGATTCCTAACCATAGGCCATGCTAGGTTAGAATTCTGGGAACTGAATTTTGTTAATCTGGAGAGCAACATAATGAGAAAAACTGGTAGAGAAGGAATCCCAAAGACTAAGGAGGACAAATGAGGGGATTTCTACATAAATCACTTTGGTAAATAACTTTCACTTTTTCTGCATTCTTAAAACAGTTAAGAATATATTCCGGTGTGTAATTACGACCTGTTTTATATATAAACAAGAAATTATGGTTGTGGGATTTCTCTTGGTTCTTGTACTTGTTCTTGTTGTACTTGTACTTGTTCTCTTTGTTCTTCTTGTCTGCACAGCAAAAAGGCAATTTCATGTACTTAGGTAATTTAGACTTATTTAGGTGAAACCTTATAGTTGGTCACTTTATTATATCACAAAATTGGCCAAAGCTCACTAGTAGGACATACAAGCCACTCTTTGATCCTGCATAATAGCTGAGGGCATGCACTTTGCAGTAACTCAGTTCTGGTTGTTTAAAAATGTACTTAAAAAGCTTTACTGTAGGTTCAGAACAGAGTTTCCATTTAGTAAGCATTGGTTAATATAAAAGCATTTTGTAAGGCAGTAGTTAGTGTATTAAATTGGGTTAGATCATATTCCTACTATGAGCTTATTGAATTATTTAGAAAATGTTATTTTCCTAAACACCTCAGATTTAATGCACCACTGTATAGAATAGCATTGTGCATGCCCAATAAGATATTTTTTTTCTCTCATATTTTGATTTGCATGACTAGAATTACACTGTTGATCCTTTTGTTAGGCAGTGTGCTAGTGTTACTGTATCTCATCAACAATAAAATACTAACTTTTGTTGTTAGTTGCAAAGTCGTGTCCGACCCATCATGACCCCATGGACAACTCTCCTCCAGGCCTTCCTGTCTACCATCCTCTGGAGTCCATTTAAGCTCACGCCTACTGCTTCAGTAACTCCATCCAGCCACCTCTTTCTCGTTCCATTCTTCTTTTGCCCTCAATCTTTCCCAGCATTAGGCTCTTCTTCAGCGAGTCCTTCCTTCTCATTAGGTGACCAAAGTATTTGAGTTTCATCCTCAGGATCTGGCCTTCTAAAGAGCAGTCAGGGTTGATCTCCTCTAGGACTGACTGGTTTGATCACCTTGCAGTCCAAGGGACTTGCAGGAGTCTTCTCCAGCACCATAGTTCAAAGGCCTCAATTCTTTGGCGCTCAGCCTTCCTTATGGTCCAACTTTCACAGCCATACATTGCAACTGGGAAAACCATAGCCTTGACTATATGCACTTTTGTTGGCAGGGTGATGTCTCTGCTTTTTAGTATGCTGTCTAGATTTGCCATAGCTTTCCTCCCCAGGAGCAAGCATCTTTTAATTTCTTGGCTGCAGTCCCCATCTGCAGTGATCTTGGAGCTCAGGAAAATAAAATCTGTCACTACCTCCATTTCTTCCCCATCTATTTACCAGAAAAATACTAATTAGAAATGAAAACATTACCATAACTGACTCCAAAATTTCTGTTGTTAAATGAAACATTTGTTAAGTGAATTTTGCCCCATTTCATGACCTTTCTTGCCCCAATTGTTAATTGTTAAGTGAATTGTTAAATTCATCACTGCAGTTGTTAAGTTAGTGACACAACTGTTAAGTAAATCTGGCTTCCCCTTTGACTTTGCTTGTCAGAAGGTTGCAAAAGGTGATCACATGATGTCAGGACACTGCAACCATCACAATAATGTGAACCAGTTGCCAAGTGTCTGAATTTTGATCACATGACCTCAGGGACGGTTGTAAGAGTGAAAAACAGTCTTACATCTCTTTTTTCAATGCCGTTGTAACTTTGAACGGTCACTAAACGAACTGTTGTAAGTTGAGGACTATCTGTATATGCAAGATACATTTTTACAGTCATTCTGAATTGTGCTTGTAGTAAATTATTTCATGTTATGTTAAGACCAGTGTAAAATCATGCTTGAATGACAATTTCTGCTTAGAATTTGGGCTGCTCTAAATATTAGTCATACTTTGTGTTGGCTGATCTTATCATTTTCCACTTTAGGCTAACACTGACAAGAAACCATTGGCTTCCAAGGTAGCTGTTGGCACAGCTGGAACAGTTACAGCTGCTGGTTTGGTTGCTGCCACTGCAGAGGTGAGTTTAGTGGTGGTTAGTAGTATGTGTATGTGAAATTATGTACTAGGTCTCAGAAATACATTCTTATTTTCAGACTAAAGAACATAAAGTGGCATCTCCTGCCCCAGTTACTGCAGACAGTAAACCAGCAGAAAAGGTAAACAAGGGTTTACTTACCCGTGTATTCTACTGCCGCATTATTCTTTTTGTCAAGCACCATTTTAAAAGTAGCTAGCCAGCATGGATAATCCTGATATTCTTTTTTAAATACGCACAATCAGCTTTATTTCAAACTGTAATTTCTCCATCATTACTAGGCTGACTCCTGAGAAAATAAAATATAGAGATATATTGTACTAGCTATACAAATGTACACTTGTAGATGTGCTACATGCAACACTTGAATAATCAAGTATGTACAGTATATGGCACATATAATCTTTCTCTTAACGCTCTGACTGGCTTTGTTCCTTCTTTTGTCCTTTTTAAGCTACCTGACTTATGAATAACTTTATCCTCACTTTAAATCTCTGCCTTTTTGCTTGCTTGCATTTGAGTAATTTTTCTGTTTGTCTATAAATCTCTTCTCAAGTCCTTTTTACTCCTCAGGTGCTTTACTAAATTATCCACTTCCTTTTCTTTTTCCTAGTCATTTCTTCTAGGTGTGGTCTCTCTGAGTCAAGCTTAGTGATGTCAAGAAGAATCACTAAGCCTGTATTAGTGTTCTCTAGACATCTGTCTTCTTGTACTCATAACACCACACCTTTTATATCTTTTTCAAATTCAACATTTGTTTCTTCCTCTTGCCTCTTCTGGATAATCTTCCCCCTTCCTTTCATTCCGATTTTCTTAAAAGTTTACCTTTTATGTTTACTAAAAAGCTTCTTATCTCATTCTGTGATCCAACTGCCTTATTTTCCAAGTCATGTAGCATTTATCTGCATTTTTAAGTCCTATTTCCTACATTCTGCTAATTACAAAACATAGATATCTGGATTTTTAGCAGCCAAGTTATTTCTTTCTTCTATTAGTAAGTCTCTACCATACAGTATTGACCAAAATATCTCCCGGGTTACATAAACTATACCTTTGGGTACTAATATTTCACTGAAACTTTTTACAATTTAAATAATAAGTTGTTAGAATTTACTGTATTGATTTTTAAATATTTGATTATAATTTTTTTACTAAATATTTACTAAATATATTTAGTAAATATATATCCTAAATAAATAATAAATGTATTGCTATAGAACATTCTAGTAATCAACTACTCCATGCCAGTGCTATATATTATTTAAAATGTTTCCCTAGTCTGATTTAGATACTGCCTTAGACGATTTAATAGATACACTTGGAAGTCCTGAAGAAAATGAACCACCTGCTCCTACGTATACTGGACCGGAAGTTTCGGTATGGAATTTTTTTCTATAAAAACCTTATGCATGAAATCTGCAATGAAATCTACAATTACATTTTGTAAATGCGTACGCAAGTAAAATAATACGTTTTTCCAAGTTTTGTTTCCTTATGTGACATCCTTGAACATTGGCGTATGTGCCTCTATTATACATTTTCAAGTTTTTAAACACATAGAAATCTGGATTAGTTGTAATCTGGTGTGTTTTTTCCTATTTCAATTATGGGAGTGATTCCCCCTTCATTTTTTATTTTGTGTTGCTTATCAGCATATTGCAATTATTTTGTTTCAATTCAGATGTTTAGTCCAAATGAATTTAGGAAAGCTTGCTTCCATGCGAATAGGTCTAGGTGAAGTAACTTACCTAAATTTTCAGAATGTAGAATTGTTCCTCATAAACACATTTACTTAATATGGTAGGCGTATACCGTTCTTTTCGGGGTATAAGACACACTTCCCCCCCCCCCAAAAGAGGGTGAAAATGTTGGTGCGCCTTATACACCGAATACAGCCATTTTTGGCCTCCCAAAACCCCACCCCACGCATCCTGTTTTCGCCAAAACCAGGCCCGTTTTTTGTGAAAACAGGATGCACAGAGGGTTTGGGAGGCCTGCAGAGTGCTCCTGGGGGGTGGAGAGGGCAAAAACACAACATGTGGGAGGTTTGGGAGCCCAAAAACGGGCTCGTTTTTTGCAAAAAATGGGATGCGCAGAGGGTTTGGGAGTAATCCTGGGGGCCAGGGAGGGCAAAAACTGGATGTGTGGAGGCCAAAAACTATTTATTTTCTTGTTTTCCTCTTCGAAATCTTGGTGTGTCTTATGCTCCGGGGCGTTTATAGTCCAGAAAATACGATATATAGCACAATGATGAAGCTATGCACAGATTTTCAAAGGCAGCCCATTGCATTTTGAGAATCTCTGTATATATTTCTGACTCATTTGCAACATGTTCTGAAACATTAAAAACAGTTTGCATCCAGTCTTTTTCTTTTCTTAAATATTCCCATTACTCATGTTTTCATTTTATGTCTACCATAGAATGGTAATATGGTCTGGATTAGAGCTAGTTACTGTTACTGATAGTGCACTGTTGTGAAAAGATCATATTCTCTTTACATATTAGAAAACAGGGATGTTGAATGATAGTCTAGGCTTCTTGCTCAGTTTCTGGGTGGAATAAAGTTATAGAACAGCAGAAAGAGAGAACTACTTCAGACAATAATGTTTGAAAATATGTCTGTACCTATGGACTTTCCTCCCTCTCTTCGTAATCAAAATGCAGGAGAAAGAAGGTTTGGATATTTACAAACTCTACTATGAATTAATATAACCATCATTAATATATAACTGGGTAGGTTAATGTTTTTTATTATTCGCATAGTGAGATAAGAAGAAGCTAATAGCTAGATCTCAAAGTATAGAGGAAGAATAATCATTTTCAGCACTCTAAGCAAGGGATTTTTTTCTTCAAACTGTAGTGAGTTTATTTCCATTTCCAATAATTAATCCTAATCATTAAATTTTCCTGATAATTATCACTACCTGATGGATGGTATGTTTCAATTCAGATGTTAAGTCCAAATGAATTTAGGTATGTTATTTATTTTAAATAAGGTAAAATATTATCTAATTTGTCTTATTAACATGAACTACAGTTCTCAATTGTTAGATAATTGAGGTAAAATGAAATTTGTTCTGTACAATAGTGATAGAATAAGAGAACAGAAAAGACATTTGCAGATGTAGACATCAGCTTGTATTGATTTTTTCTACAATCATAAGCAATCATTTTTACAAAATATTAGGGATTACTGTTTTGCATGGATAACTAACTAGCATTAAAATGAACTTGAAATTATATTTTTCTTAATAAATTGGAATCTTATGGAAATATATTTTATGTAACTATGAATTAATTGTTGAGCTCAAGAATAAAATGAAACTTTTTCTTTGATGTAGGACCCAATGTTGTCCTTAAACATAGAAGAATTGGGCAAATGGGAGAGCACAATTCCTCCAGAATACAGGAAATTATTGGAGGTATGAATTACTCAGAATTATGTTCCAACCATTTCTAATAAGGCAGACTGCTTAAAATATTATCACAAACATACTTTTCTTTTTCAGAGTAAAGGTGATGGTAAAATTGCTTCTCCATCAGTTGCAGTGGGAGAATCACAGGTATGGTTAATTTGTTCAGTACAAAATGTGAAGATAGAAAATTATTACTGATCTTTACATAAAAAGTTAGTCATGCTTGTTTCAAACACAAATCAAATAAATATGTTTAGGCACATATAATAGGACCGTGCAGTGGTTTGGATTTAATATGCAAACAATCGATACAAACTCAAGGTAAACCACTCCAAACTCAATTGCAGAAAATACGACTTCAGCAACAGAGTGGTCGACGCCTGGAATGCTCTACCCGACTCCATTGTTACAGCCTCAAACCCTCACAGCTTCAACCTCAAACTGTCTACCGTGGACCTCACCCCATTCCTAAGAGGTCCATAAAGGGGGCATGCATAAGCGCACCAGTGTGCCTACCATCACTGTCTTGCTGTCCCCATTTATCTGTACTTACTTCCTTTGTTTATTTTTATGTTTATACCTTTACCTGCTATCTTGTACATGTTTGACTAAATAAATAAATAAATAAATAAATAAATAAATAAATAAATAAATAAATAAATAAATAAATAATCAATCTCTAATTGGTGATCGGGAGCGCACAGTAATTGCAAAATCTTAAAATTTTTTGGGATGATCCTGAGAAAAGATGCTTAGGATGTTGCAGTCAGGTACTATATTTATGTTCTTACCTACTCCAAAACATCTGAAATTTAATACTTAATCACATATTTAAACTATATGGTGCCCATAACCTGTAAAGAGCTATTGGGCAACTAGTATAAGTCTAACCCAGTTTATGTTTTCATTTAGCCAACCATGACAGACGATGACCTTGCAGATGCTCTGTCATCTGATTTCACTTGCACTACTGTACCATCTGCTGGAGAAAAGGAAGTCAGGCCAAAAGAGGTACTGGTTTTACCGTCTTTTAAAGGAATATTGCCAAGCTTGAAGTATCCTTTTAGAAAGAAAGTTTTAATACATTGCTTTAGCAATAGCAATACATTTAATTTAATACATTGTTTTTAATACTTTAATACAGTCATTAATACATTAATGTTGATTTAATGCATTGCTTTGATAATTTATGCCAATAAATTTTGTGTTTATATTTATTTATTATATATTTATATTTTTGTGCTATAAGCCTGCAGCAAAAGATGAACTTTTACAAGCCCATTCTGCAAAATCAGTCAGCAGTTCGGCTCCTCCAAAAGAGAAGAAACCAAAATTGGAAGAGGTAGATAGATATGTTACTGTATTAAATGTTCTGATACTCAAAAATAGATGCACAAAATTATTGTGACTAAGGATTTTGTACCTAACAAAAGTTAAGTAACAAAAACTCTCAGCTTTTTTTTTCAGCCCTTATTATACATGTTCAAACTGGGTGTGGTGTGGCTTGGTGGGCGTGGCAGGGGAAGGATACTGCAAAATCTCCATTTCCATCCCACTCCAGGGGAAGAGTACTGCAAAATCTCCATTCCCACCCCACTCTTGGGCCAGCCAGAGGTGGTATTTGCCAGTTCTCTGAACTACTCAAAATTTCCACTACCGATTCTCCAGAACCTGTCAGAACCTGCAGAATTTCACCCCTGCTTTGAATAGTTTGATGTATATAGTCCTAATCTGTAGTTGATATTTAAAGGGAATTGAGTTTTTATTTGAAAATACAGATAATGCACACGTAAAATATATATCCTTTAGTTGCTGCAAGATTTCAAACACATCTGTGTTTGAATTTCAGATGTGAAATCAGGATGTGATTTCATTGTCTGCCAAAATGATCAGTTGTTACTGTGGCTATTGTGTTTTATTGGGCATGACTTCTTTATTTCTTTTCTATCTGTGTTACATGTTATGTTACAATCATTCCAAATGTTTACTGATGCACAGGATCACAAGCAATTTATAAAAACACATTAGGATGACATTAATCTACTACCTAATATTGAATAATAATAAGTGTAGCACTGATGCTGGAGAGAACATGTTTGGCACTTTATATAGAAAATTACTCAATTTATGGATTTCCCCCCTTTTTTATTGAACTAAACCAGGATTAATTTTCCTGAGACTTCTCATAATTGTTTCTTGTATAGATCACTCTACTTTCCTGAGCTCACAATTGTTATACCGCAACTAGGTCTTCAACCACGTTTCAAGATTGATTGAGGATGTACTACTATTATGGTTGATGAACCTGCATTATTATTGATTACTTGAAATTCAGTATGAAATTTAAAAAGACAGACTATTTCCCTGTAATGGAAAAGTGCATAATTTACCATCCTACATTCAAATGTTTTAGCTATCAGGTCTAGATTATACTATAAGACAATTGCTGAAAAATCTGAATTGTCAATACAGCATTATGTCCAATAATTCCAGCACATATGCAGATATAAGGAATTGCCTGTATTGGTTTTTTTTTAATAATTGCACTTTGGTTTTACAATTTAGGTGACAATTAGTGATAGTGCCCTGGATGCTCTTGTGGATACACTTGGTATGCCAGAACCTGAACCTGAAGAAGATACTAGTTCCATCGTTGAAGTTGAAGAGGTATATCTGTGCTACATTTTGGGAAATGAGCCCAAAATAGAGTCACTTGAGTCTAGTGATTAAGACACCAGGGTAGAAACCAGAAGATTGAGAGTTCTGGTCCTACCTAAGCCAAGAAAACCAACTAGGTGATATTGGGCCAGCCACTCACTCTCAGCATAACTCACCTCACAGGTCTGTTGCTGTGGGGAAAATGGGAGGAAAAAGAAATATTAGGTATCACTGCCTTTAGTTATTTATAAAGTAATAAAGGCAAGATTTTTGGTAAAAAAAAATCTAATCAATCAATCAAATATACAAATAATCAACCAGAACAATATTTGCTTGTTGGTAAAAGAATTGTACTCCTAAATTTAGAGTAAGCACAATTAAATACATTAAGAGGTATTTGTAAATAAAAAAATAGTAAGATTAGGTTGCAACTATGGGAGAATAAAGTGCTATTTAATTAAATACTATATGTTCAATGGTCATATCCTTAGATGGGTATGGTTCATCATTCATTGATATGATTGATTTAGGTTTAGGCACTTTTAAATCCCACTGATTTTAGAGTATGTATTTAGATTTCCAAAGAATCCTCTTTTATATTGATAAATTGTTTTTTCCCCCTTCCTTTAGCCAAAGGCCATAGAAAGGAAAGAAAAGAAACCCGGTGAACGTGATGATACAATTCCTCCTGAATACAGATTAAAACCAACATTGGTAACTAATAATCTCCAGCTTTCAGTGACATGCAATATATATTATTTTTGTTAGTTTAGAAATTGCACTGGGATATTAAATTATTCAGTTATTTAATTGATGTCTTACTGGTTTTACTTTAAGGTCACTTTTTTTCTAAATTTTGCTGTATTGTGTTCAGGATAAGAGGGATAATTGCAGTTTGAACACTGGGATTCTTGACCTGGTTGCTCTTTCATCTTTCAGTGCTTTGATGTGCCATGAAAGGCAAGAATAGGGAAATGCTTGTTTGATCCCTTTGCAATCATGTGATGAAAAGGACACACACTAACAATTCCACCCAGAATCTGGGTATTGATTGCTGGCAAGGGAGTTATGTGGTTTTTTAGCTTTTTGATTGTCTCTTTTGAATAGTATGTAGAAGTTGTTTATCTCTATGTACCTGTTGATGGCTGGTTTTTGGAATCTGGAGCTATATACCTGTAGCTTACCAATTGTCAAATATTAAATACTGGAAGCAAACAATTGGTGTTAATTTTCTTAGGGATATACAAATAAAGCACATTTGGCTAAATGGATAGTGTTAACATCTAAATTTAATAGAACTGGAAACAATTATACTAATTACAATAGGAAGCAATGGTATATAATGTCTAAAAAGAAGGATCCGATGTTTTTTTCCCTGCTAAATTGTCTTTATGGGGAAATCCAACATTAATTGGAAAAAAGGTGCTGATATGGAAATATTGGATGAAAGTGATGATACTGTCTTTGGCCCAAGTAATAGATGATGAGGATGAATTTTTAACATATTCTCTGCTAAAAACAAATGTCATCTGTCAGATACTACTCAGTGGAAATATTTACTGATACAACATTTGTTAATAACATTGTTTGTACCAGTGGTATATTCAGCATCTGAGACACCTGAGAAATTAGATCAACTAGTTTAATCTTTTATACAACAAAAAATAACTTAGAATTTTATGAACTCCATTAAGTCTGTGTAGAAAAAGATTGTGACAGAATTTACAGGTTGTCCTTGACCTTCGACCATTCATTTAATGAACTATATAAATCGGACATGCAACAAAACCTAAAATTTTCAGAATATAATATTTTCTTGAATTACATACCCAGTATATGGAATTTGACAACTGGATAGCATGGCCAAAGCCTAGTAATCACACTAGGCTTACTACATCAACTGTGCATCTGAATTATTATTATGATATAGAACTATTAAAGTTCTGGGAAATTGAGAAAATATTTCTGTTCCAGTCTAGACTTCTTTTGTATCTTCACTATTTTTACTTTCATTGAATAGAAATTGCATTCTTAACAATAGTGCTTATTTTTATATATTAGGACAAAGATGGGAAGCCATTGTTGCCAGCAGCCGAAGAGAAACCAAAGGTTATTTAACAATTTTTAAAATATTTTATTTATTTTTATTTTTATTTTATTTTGATTTATATGCCGCCCTTCTCCGGAGACTCAGGGCGGCTTACAGTGCATTAAGCAATAACCTTCATACTTTCGTATATTTATTTTCTATTACTTCTGTTGCAAAAGAACAAGTTGAGTGAAAATTTTATCAGTTCTTTTTTAAAAACATATTGAGAATACATTCAATATTCACTTTGGAGGAAGTCTAGTATATTACAAAGGGAAGTTCTTAATAAATATTTTTCTTTTCATTTTATTTTTCTTTTCCTTTCTATTTTTGCAATAGAAAATACAATACCATGTTAGATCAAAACAAAGGACTGTTTGGTCCAGAGCTTTAAGTCACAGGTTCCAATTCTGTACATGCAGGAAATTCAGAAAGAAGACAGGAAATCAAAAGCGTTCTTTCATTGTTGATTCCCAGCAACACTTTAGATGTGGACTTTTTTTCTGACAGTAATATACAAGAAATCCAAATGAATAGCCTTATTCTTATATCAATTTGTCTTCATACATTGGTTGCCATTAGCACATTTGATGGCAATGATTTATATGTAGTTGAAGAAATTACTTCCTTTTATCATTCACAAATCTCCTCATATCTTACTTCAACAGTTAAGACCAGATTCTAATACTGTGGAGGGATGAGAAAAACTTTTTAATACTGAATTTTTCCTTATATGCATGTTTTTATAAGCCTCTATTATCCCCACCAGGGGTTCACATCCTTTCTTTAAAAACTCAAAATATATCTTCCTCCTGCATTTCTTACCTTAGTTTTTTGTCTTTTACAGTGCAAGTAAAAGAATATTTTACCAATGCCTATTACTCTAAAAGTTTCAGATCTTCTGTTCATTTACAGTATACTGTAACAGAGGCATGTTTTGCATTATGAATAAAATCTCATAAGAGCTGAATCAATATCTTGGAATATATAATTATTGTTTTAGAAATCTTACTTATTGTTAGGTGTATAATATGCTGTGGCATCAGTTTGCATTAAAGCAGGCTAACTGGATCTGCAGAAGAAAGGGAAAGTGCAAGATTCCCTTTTTTGCAAACATACTATTAATACTCCTGTTCCTCCGGGGGAGGGGAGTTTAGATTCCTATCTTTTGAACAGAAATGTATATATACAGTATTTCCAACCAAATATCCAGACCACAGTAATCATGTTCTTACCTCTGCTGAAGAATGGTAACTTGATAAATGGTAACTTGATAAATGTTTGCACTATAAGAGCTGTGGTGGCACAGTGGTTAGAAAGCAGTATCGCAGGCTAACTCTGCCCACTGCCAGGAGTTTGGTCCTGACCAGCTCAAGGTTGACACAGCCTTCCATCCTTCTGAGGTTGGTAAAATGAGGACCTAGATTGTTGAGGGCTATATGCTGACTCTGCAAACTGCTTAGAAAGTGTGCTGAAAAGCATTATGAAGTGGTGTATAAATCGAAGTGTTATTGCTATTGTCGCTGTCATTTTTGTCTGTTTTTAAATTGATTACTATGTATCTATTTTCCCTTTTTGTTTTACAGCCAATTAGTGAGACTGAACTCATTGATGAATTTTCAAAAGACTTTGTCTGTCCTGCTTCTTCCACAGAAAAATCAAAACCAACTGAACTTGCTGATACGTCTAAGGTATGTTTCTTTTCCCAAAACAGTTAAACCCAAAATACTGTATTGAATTGGATTACTTTTTCTACTGATTCTACACCAATATGGTGACAAGGGCATGTTCCGTTCCTGTCAGCTAAGAAGCGTTGCCTGGTGGAGCCTAGAAGGAGAGATTTTTGGAACATCACCATGCCCCCCTTTGTTTGGCCTGTCCCTGCTGCCTTTTGTAAATATGATTATGTGCCTGTTCGTGGATTAGACACTGTTTCCTGGTGATGTGGCTGATTGGTTAGATTATGCCTGGATGCCATGTTTTATTATTTTTATTTTTAAAAAATATTGTCTATGTTACGTATTTTATTTGTTTTGTTTTAAGCTGCTTAGTGTCATGTAAAGGTAAGATAAGCAGCGATATAAAACCAGCAAACAAAGTCCTCAGTTAGGAAGCTCTTTTGAGAAATCTGAGAATAGTATTCCTCAATGCATCAGTAGAATTTCAGATTGAGAAAGACTGCATTGGATAGAAGCAGATGAAAAATTGTGTAAATTCATCCATAGTATAACTTCACTTTATATTCTGCTCTTATATAACTCATCATTTATTAAGGTTTAGGTAGCATGCTGAGAAATAGATATTTAAGCACAACTCCTTTTAATGGTGCTCAAGCAGTCATACCTTTTAAAGATTAAAATTCATTCATCATTTTCCCCCCCAAGAAACCTGTGGTAGATGAGCCCCCAAAAACTCCCAAAGAAAAAGTAACTGCGTCTCCTGTAGCTCTTCCTGTGCAACCTCTGGCTTCATCAGAAGTTTCACCAGTGAGTATCTTCCTAGAGACCACAAAAATGAAATTACATTTGAGAGGGCAATAGCTGTGTGTGTGTGTGTGTGTGTGTGTGTGTGTGTGTGTGTGTGTGTGTATGCACATGTGCGAGAGGGAGGGAAAGAGTGTTTGTATGTGTGGGTATGTATAATCTAAAAACTGAAGTTTTATTTGCTTCTAATATCATGTGACAGAAGAGGATTTATTCCTTGAATAGAAAGATGAAATATTCAGATGTTTTCTAAATCAAATATTTTAATTGTGCTAAGATTGACCGGAATCTCATTATATCTACCTGTTAAACACATAAAGCCTCCTGATCTATGCATGCAAAGGTAATCAATATCTGTTTGTGTCATCTTGCTTTAGAAGCCCGAGTCAACTAAACCCCAGAACACATCTGCAGAAGAAGTTGTCTCAGCTTCAGCTGTGCCTTCTGTGAAATCTTCAGCTCCTACAGTCACTTCTCCTGTGAGTAACCAGTTACACAAATTAATATAAAATTAATACAAAAAATCCCAAAATACACTTGATTAAGTCCAATAATTGATTTTATGGGAAAGCCATGGTGGCCCAGTGGTTAGGCTCTGACCACTACCAGGAGTTCGATCCTGACCAACTCAAGGTTGACTCAACCTTCCATCCTTCCAAGGTTGGTAAAATGAGGATCCAGATTGTTGGGGGCAATATGCTGACATTGTAAACTGCTCAGAGAGTGCCGTAAAGCAGGGGTTCCCAATCCTCGGTACATGGTCCGAGGATTGGGACAATCAGTACAAGTAGAGTGTGAGCGTGCAAAGCTACATTTGTACAAGCGGCACACATGTGCAAAACTATTCCCTCTCCCCTCTCTGTCGCACTACCACCACCGGAAAGGTTGGTGACCCCTGCTGTAAAGCAGTATGGAGCAGTATATAAGTCTAAGTGCTATTGTTACTGCTATTGCTATTCTTAGCATCCTCATAAAACCTCCTTTATAGCATAAACTTTTAGTATAAACCACCCAGAAATAGCAGTTCACACATCTTAAAGTTATGTAAGTTCAGAAATGCTGATATAAATAATTTGGGAGCTGAGATAAACTGGATTTTTTTTCTCTTTTTTTAATATTTGGGATTGTTAAATTGAAGCTTTTCCCCTGATTTAGGGGCTGACTAAGTCCAATTTAACTTAGGCTTTTGGCAAACTAGTCTTTAAATGTATCAGTGGCTAAGATGCTGAGCTTGTCGATCGAAAGGTTGGCAGTTCAGCGGTTCGAATCCCTAGTGCCATGTAACAGGGTGGGCTCCAGCTTCTGCCAACCTAGCAGTTTGAAAGCACGTAAAAAATGCAAGTAGAAAAATAGGGACCATCTTTGGTGGGAAGGTAACAGTGTTCCGTGTGCCTTTGGTGTTTAGTCATGCCAGCCACATGACCATGGAGACATCTTCAGACAACACTGGGTCTTCAGCTTTGAAACGACGATGAGCACCGCCCCCTAGAGGTGGAAACAACTAGCACATATGTGCAGGGGAACCTTTACCTTTAATCTAGGAGAAAATTCCATATAAATTTTGTCTATTCCTACTACTATTTTTTTAAACTTTTTTTTAACTAACCAGTTCTACATTACAGTACTATCATAATAGTAGCAAGTTTCCTTGACTGTTATTTTATGTTAAAGTTGATATCAGTAGTATTATATTTCTCATTTTTCAACCAGTTTTTAAAAATACATCTTAATTGATTTTTCTTGTTATTTATAGAGCACACAAGCAACTAATGAAGCACTAGAAGCCTTATCTGGAAGCCTAGGAAAAAATGAGCCTGCCCCAGAAGAAAAAAAACCTGCTGTGGATAAAGTGAAAGTAATAAAATATCTAATTTGCTGGTTATAACGGAGGGGGCCTTTTTTATTTTCCAAAAGTACCAAAATAGTTTGTTATGAAATGTAATTTTTCTATAATTACTAGCATTTAATTCTTAATTTTTTGAAAGTATTTCTCCAACGATGGAACAGTGCCACGACAGTGGATGGATTCTAACACTGAACATTATATATTCATAATTATATATGTTTGTGGCATCATGCATTGTGTGGAGCCAACCATTCTGGTTTGTGGTTGAGCCTGATGTATGAAATCAAGTCAATTATGACTTGTTCCACAAACTATGATTAAGCAATTCAAAGCTTACCAAGCATCATTGCAGTCACAAGCAGAGATATTCTAAAATAGTATTTTGAAAGCGGCATGAAAGAAGCATAGGTGTTGCTGTGGATTTAAGAAATATATCTCAGAATGGCTACTCATTGAATTCTTGTTCTCATGCTCTTCATGTGGTAGGGATTTGGCATGTGGAAGAATTTCTGTGGTAGGATAGTCAACAATAGATTTAGTTATTGTTTTATAAGTATAATACAAAGCAATGGGACAATCCTAATGAATTACACTGAAACTGTCTTGTTGTTGAAAGTTTCTATTTCTTGTATTCTTGTTCAGGAAAAATCAAAAAAAGAGAAACATGAGAAACTTGGAGAAAAGGAAGAAACCATCCCTCCTGATTACAGATTAACTGAAGTAAAGGTAATAGAGCTTATTTTTCTTGTACGCTTCACTTTTTTGTTGTTAAAAATGAAGTTTTTATGTTTTAATAAACTTTCTTCAGAATTGTGGCATAAAGTTCAGTTCAGTATATCAAATCATGAATTTTGGATTTGTGTATTTGCCTACTGTAGACACAATATATAGAATATATTGATGGTTATGTAAAGAGTTCAGTTAAATATACAAATTACTCTGAACCATTTTCTTCATGTTTTCCTTCTCATATGGCAATATATTTGCTAGGTCTGTGATGGCAAGGTCCCAAAGCTATTTTGGTTAATTTGTTAATTCTGTTCATTAATAACCAGACCAAATATGTGTCCTGAAATTGGGGAAGTCTGCAGGAATGGGGGTCAAAAAAAAAAAAAGAGAAAAAATAGTAAACATGACAATATGAGAGTAGCGCTACCATTTTTTGTATATATTGTGAGGCTTCAATTTGGTGATTGTGGTGGTTCTCTGAGTTTTTTGGGCATCCCAATAACCCTGCCTGATGCCTTTTTGGGATCTTATTTCCAATATTTCTGCACTGCACACTTAATACTGTAAGTATTACAGCTCTGAGATATTACTATACACCTTGTATTACAAAAATCACAGATTAAATTCCTAAAAGCTTCCAGTTTTACCTCACAAATGATGTGGCTTCAGAATTTCGCTTGCAGATGTAATGAAGGAATGCATAAATGTAGGAATGCATCAACTTGAGACCTACCCCAGAAGTGGGTACAGCCAATGTTTGTTTAATGGCCCTTCAAACCCCCCCTCGCCTCACCAATCCCTGGAGTTGCTTAATTTAGGCATTGGCAAGGGGAGGTTACATATTAATGAAAATTATGGATCTGGATTATGGGTTTAGAAGGTATTGGGTGCCTACTATGACAAAAAAAAAAACTAATTGGGCTAGAGCAGAAAGTTTGTTACATTGCAAGAGTAAATAGAAAAAGCTAGCTTGTCTTGTCTTTTTAATTTAAAAAGGCAGCTCACAGGACCCTTTTTATGTCATAATAAATTAATAAACATTAAAACTAAATAAAGTATTTCTAAAGTTCCAAAAGCAAAATTCATTGACAAAAAATTCACCCATTGGAACTCGTAACAGCAAAATGCAGTTAAGAATGTTCCTTCTGCAATTATTCCTGCTTTTTATGTTGAATTTTGGTTTGGGGAGTGCTGGAAGCTATATTGTTCACCTTAATCTTTAAATTGCACGTGGATCCTTGACTATGAATGCCTTGTACAATATATCAATATCCTGAATTAGTATGAATGATGTAACTTGATTGCATGTTGAGTCTTCTCAAAATTTGAAAGTCGGTAGACAGATATATCTTGCAATTGCTAAATCTTCCAGCTCGTCTTTCAGCATATGTTTTCACAAACATATTTGAGGAAGGAGCAGAAGCTAATTAAAAGATGCAGTTAATAAAAGCAGCTGCAGGCATTTGTTAGAATCACTCTGGAAACATATATACTTGATTCTATAAGATGGTTGATGTCCTAAATTTGGGACAGAATTATGTGTAATATTTGACTAACCACCATAGTGCACTAATTGCTAGACTCCCTTTTTTCCCTCCACAGGATAAAGATGGGAAGCCACTTTTGCCAAAACCTGAAGAAAAGCCTCAGGTGGGTGCACAGATTGGTCAGGAACCTTATATATATATATATTTCCTAGTTTAGAAATAAATAAATTGAAAGCTTTTGTTATGACTTAATGTCTTCCAATTGGACACTTACTTAGCTGACTATTAATTCTTTCATAATTAAGAGTTCCAAATGGAGAGTTCTGTATTCAGTCACCTTATGAAGGAAAAAAGGGACATTTAGACATGCATTAAAACATTTTTAATAATTTGTTCTGATTTCTAGCCCCTGAGCGAAAGTGAGCTTCTGGATGCTTTGTCTGAAGGGTTTTCTTGTTCTGCACCAGCATCAACAACAGAAACACCTGCGGTAAGGATTGGTTGAGTCTGAGAGAGAGAGAGAGAGACTTTGACACTCAGATGAAATTACGTATATACTCTAGATCAGGGGCCTCCAATCTTGGCAACTTTAAGACTTGTGGACTTCAAGCCAGCAAAGCTGAGGAATTGTGGAGTTGAAGTTCACAAGTCTTAAAGTTGCCAAGATTGGGCCCCTGATCTAGATATATATATATATAAATATATTAACTGTAGTAGAATTGTATACTTTATACTTTTGAATTGCATTCAATATTATTTCAAGTATAGAAGCACCTAGATCTGTACAATAACGTTTTTATAGGGTCATTTTTACATCCCTTTAATAAATTTGGACACATATTTTGCATTTTTTTTCATAGTTGATACATCCCAAGTTCATCTTTTAACTTACATTTTCAGAAAATTTCTGGATAAGCCAGAATTTTTTTAACACAAGGGACTTTTATAGAAGGCAGTCAACATCAAGAGTTTTCTTTTTATTAGCAGGCTAGGAAAGATTGAATTTCAGCTGATGGCAGGTTTCTCTTCCAAAATCTGATTTGAAAGAAAAAGGCATACACATGATTTTCAGGGATCAGTTTAAAAATGCTATTTATTTAACTGATAGTTATTTGAGAGCTCAAAATGATGATTCTAGAAAAGAAAGAGATGTTGGAAAAATTACAGACTGTAGGTAAATGCTGTGTAATGCCCAGTTTCCTTGCCTTTCAACCTAGGATTGGCAATTACAGTTGATTCCAGATGTGAAGATTTCATATCCATTAATGTGTTCATGTGACACTTTTATAGATATATTTGCATTTATGAATATATACACTGCCCAGAAATCTTGCTCAGAAAAGGGCAAAAATATATCAGTGAACGTTATAACAATTTCTGATTGGAATTTCTTGCCTTTGTAAGACAAATGAACCTCCTATTACGTAGACACACAGAACATTTTTCAAAACAGAGTCACTTGTCCATCTACCTCTTCCAACTTAAAGCAGCAATGGAAAAAAAGGGAGCTGAGATGAACAAAGGGAGCAGCTGCACTGGGAAGAGAAATCAAGAGAGGAACAATATGAGTGGAGAGGAGGAAGCAAATAAATGAGAGAATCTGTATTGAAGCTTTATAAAAAGGGTTTAAAAATCACAGTTGAGCAGCAAGCAGGAGCTTAGTCCATCCCAAATTCTTTAGGTGATTTAATTTTCAAAGGTATTTGTGTTTCAGTCATTACTGCCATTTGAGAAGTGTAGAGCAAATTCTCTTATTGTTTTCCTAATAAATTTTAGCTTTTTGCATTATAGAAGATGGGAGATGCCATACTTCTTTGCATTGCTTCTTCCTCTTCCTGCATGTATTGTAGAGTTCTTGATTAGCTGAAGCTAAGAGTGTGGCACTCCCTTTCAACAGTGCATGCTCTCTTTAAATACCATCTCTTCCTCCCCTTTCAGCAGTAATTACTGGAGGAAGAACTTGTTGCACTTTCTGTAAATTCTTTAGTTTTAGAAAAGCATTTAGGAGGCATTAAGGGACAGGTCAGAAACAGTTTTCTGTGTTAACTTCTTTTTGTCTCACTTTTACATATATTGATGAATCCTTTCCTTTCCTTGTAGAAATCTACAAGTCCTAGCAAGCCTGTTGTTCCTACGGAAGAGGTGATTTCTTCTGCTGCTGCTCCTGCTGTGCAGTCATCTGTTCCGAAAGAAGCAGTCATCCCAGTAAGCAGAGCAATACTTCCTGATAACTGTACTAATGGCCAAAATGTCAAACTTTAGCAACTTTCAGCAACCTATCAATATTCTAATATATTGACATTGCAATTCAGTTTCATTAGTCCATTTGATGTTTTAGAAATGTTGATGATTCAAATTCAAGTCCAGGATCTTGAAGTTTGGAAGGAACAGTAAATGATTTAAAGATATATGCACGTAGTCATTTGCTTTTTTTATACAGATTGTTATTTGTTGGAGCAATCAAGTAGTGTTCTTGAGTTCCATTGAAAGTATTGTTTGAGTTAAATTTGATTTACAACTATTTTTTAAAAAAAAAGTTTTAGAAATATTGGAAGCTGAATTCCCTTGCTTGTAGTCGGAGGTGCAGAAATTAAATGAGGACTGTAATCTTCCCTGCAGCCTTTCAAAGCTCTTTCACTGGGCTCTACATAATCTCTACCACCTTGGAAGTTTGTGATTGTGTGTAAATATGTGTGGTTTTTTTGTTTTTCTTAAATCTGTCAGGGTAGGAAAGAACTTGATGACGCTGCAGACCTTCTTGCAGACACACTGGGACAAAGAGAGCCTGACCCAGATGAAAACAAACCAGTTTTGGATAAAGTAAAGGTGAGAAAAGAACAGACCCTTCTCCCCGAACTGTGAATTAGTACTGTACTTGTTTTCCAGAGTTGCAAAGAAAACTAGCTGTCCTGAACGAAGAGTTGGCAGAAGTACGGATGGACTGAGCCAAGGAAGTTTTCTGAGAAAAGAGAAGTTTTCTGTGTCAGCTCTCTAAAGAGCTCTCTCATTGTTTGTTTCACTGCCCATTTTATTGCTTATTCCTGTTTTTGCTCCCTTGGTTTGCCGTTTTAAATACTGAAAATCAAAATCAACATTTAATTTTATCTCTGTAGTCTTTGTTTATATGAAATATAAACAGACCCCTCACATCCTCATAAATTGTTTCAACTTCTACCCTCAAAACGCTATAGAGCACCGCACACCAGAACAACTAGACACAAGGACAGTTTTTTCCCGAATGCCTCTGCTTAACAACTAAATCCCACAATACTGTCAAATAATTTCTTAAGACTGTATTACTATTATTATTATTTTCTTCCTTACTAGTATCTATCACTTCCCACTTATTACTATAACCATGTGCTTGAATCTTTCAATTCATATTGTTTTTACTTGTTTCCCAGTACGATTTGATAGCTTATTAGTAATCTTGACTATCACTAAGTGTTGTATCTTTTTATTCTTGATGAATGTATTTTATTCTCCTTATGTACACTGAGAGCATATATACCAAAGACAAATTCCTTGTGTGTCCAATCACACTTGGCCAATAAAAAATAAAACAATTCTATTCTATTCTAAAAGAATTCTATTATACCTGTGCAAGAAAAACGTTACTTAAAAACTACAAATTTGTTTATATATAATGTTAATTTTTACAAAAGGCTGTGCACCAAAGAACAGAAAATTCAGAGACCTGACTTAAAAATATTTTTAAATGTCTTAAAATGTTCTAGTATTTCTTCAACTAATTTACAAAAAAAATGTATGTTGCTTTGCATTTAGATGGCATTGTAAAACATGTCATATACTTGAATCTGCAATGTTTTGTGGCATTTTTTGTAATGTTTATGTGACATTAGTTTTTAAACATTTTCATTCTTCTGAAAAGATTACCAAGTGTACTGCTGAGATATAGATGAGATTGTCATCTATAAATCATGGTTGGGATTCCTTAGATTCCTCTAAAAAATAAGTGTATTTAAAAAAAACCCGCTTTTTACAGGAAAAAGCCAAAGCAGAACATTTAGACAAACTTGGAGAAAGAGACGATACAATCCCTCCTGAATATAGACATCTTCTGGACTCAGATGAAAAGGTAAATAGATACTTTTAAAGTCAAACTTACAACTTCAGTTTTTTTTAAAGAAATAAATGTACTGAAGCAGGACTAGACTGTCAAATAACATTGGTAAAGAACAAATGCAGGATGCCCCTAATATTTAAATGTATGCTACCTCATAAATAACAGTATTGCCCAGTCTAGAGTCTTCTAAATGTGTTGAAGTTGAACATCCTTTAGCATGTCGATGGGTTCTGTTAATCAAGAATCATGGGAGTCGTCTAAAAGAATCAAAGTTAGGGAAGGATGCTTCAGGGCAACTTCAGCAGATTGCTTGACATTGAAAATAAAAGCATCGTGCTCCTTTTATATTTTTTGAAACTGTGTTTTACATACATGCAAACATAGGACTTTGAAAGACCTTGGGGGTCTTCTAGTCCAGCCCTCTGCCCCAGGCAGGAATCCTTATACCATTCCGGACAAATGATTGTTCAATTTTTTCTTGAAAATTTCCAGTGATGGAACACCCATCACTCAGTTTTGTGCTGGTGGTACAGTTTTCCATAAATACAATAAAACATTTAAAGTTTCAGCATGCAGAATGCAACTTTTGAAGAACATGAAGATAGTCTTGAACAAACAGAATTAGGAAAAGTTGAACAATCTAACAAGCATTCTAGATTATTTAAAATAGATGACTAGAGTAGACTTGAATAGGTTGGTGAATGAAACTGATACTTAATTATGTTTACCTTTGTCAAAGGATAAGCCTATAAAGCCAAAAGATAAAGATGGTGAGAAACCCAAAGAACAAACGGTAAGGGAGTATTACTTTCAATTCTATCCTGTGCTTGCTTGTCAGTAGATTGGCTTTGTTTATTGAAATATGAATCCACCTCCAGGACCAAAATGATGGATATGAATCCATTTTTGCTTTTTTTATACAGATTGTTATTTGTTGGAGCAATCAAGTAGTGTTCTTGAGTTCCATTGAAAGCATTATTTAAGTTAAATTTGATTTACAACTATTTTTTAAAAAAAAAAGTTTTAGAAATATTGGAAGCTGAATTCCCTTGCTTGTAGTCGGAGGTGCAGAAATAAAATGAAGACTGTAATCTTTCCTGCAGCCTTTCAAAGCTCTTTCACTGGGCTCTACATAATCTCTACCACCTTGGAAGTTTGTGATTGTGTGTAAATATGTGTGGTTTTTTTGTTTTTCTTAAATCTGTCAGGGTAGGAAAGAACTTGATGACGCTGCAGACCTTCTTTGTGCTGGTGGTACAGTTTTCCATAAATACAATAAAACATTTAAAGTTTCAGCATGCAGAATGCAACTTTTGAAGAACATGAAGATAGTCTTGAACAAACAGAATTAGGAAAAGTTGAACAATCTAACAAGCATTCTAGATTACTTAAAATAGATGACTAGAGTAGACTTGAATAGATTGGTGAATGAAACTGATACTTAATTATGTTTACCTTTGTCAAAGGATAAGCCTATAAAGCCAAAAGATAAAGATGGTGAGAAACCCAAAGAACAAACGGTAAGGAAGTATTACTTTCAATTCTATCCTGTGCTTGCTTGTCAGTAGATTGGCTTTGTTTATTGAAATATGAATCCACCTCCAGGACCAAAATGATGGATATGAATCCATTAATGTAGCATGAACTTTAATACTGTTCAGATGAAAAGGTTGATTAGTTTGTATAGAAGATAGAATATAGAAGAATATATAAGATAGCTTCTATCTGTGATAATACTGGAAGGAACAACAATTCTTGTTTTATTTATTTAAATTTCTACACTATCCATCTCACCTAGGTGAGTTTAGCTCAAGAAACTTTAGGTCAAGAAACCAAATTCTTTAAAAAATGCAGGATTCTTATGACACATAATGAATTAGAAACCAAATAGAGCTGAGCTCTGATAGTGATAATGGAGTACTTTTATTACTTCTGCTGCTGCAACTTGGTGGGCTTTTGTTCCCAGTGGTTGTCAATTCATATCAATTAACCCCATGTACCAGGGAAGGACCTCAGGAAGTAGGATCCAGTGGTGAGCATTAAAGAGAAGGATGGTTTTAATTTTAATAACAAAGACCTGCGGCACTTGAAAATATTTCTGCATTTTGAAAGTTGTTTCATTTGCTCTTTATCTTTTGTACCAAATATGTTTGAAACTCACAAACGGATGTTTGATAACTAAATTTCTGATTTTGGTTTAGAGCTTGTCTTCTAAGATGGTCTTGGAAAAGCACTTATTTTGCTGTTCTTTAAAATGGTAATTATTCTTATTTCAGAAGCCAGACAGTGACTCAGCAGCCATTGATGCTCTCTCTGGGGATTTTGACCATTGTGGTAAACCTGTTGTTTCACAGCCACCTTCAACAAAGGTAGGCCTCTTTTTTGGCAAGACCAGATGTCCTTTAAATCAGTCTTAACATCCTGCCACATTAAGGGAGCAAAAGTAACAAAAGGTAGTTTGCAAAATGGCCTTGCTTCTGTTAATAAACAGCAAGTAAAATCTGCTGTTGAGCAAGATTTGATGTGTTATGTGGTTCTGAATGAATATATTTTTTAAAAAGTATATTATACAATATTTGCATTCTACTTGTTGAATGTAGGCCGTATTTAAGAAAGAATCCTATTTGAAGAGTGCAAGATGACCCAAATCAGAGTTGCACGACCTACTATTTTACCTTGCCCTTAAGGCAACAAGCAAACATAGTACTTCTGCCTCTTATTTTCTCTCCAACACCACCTTGAGTTTGGTTGGGCTGAAAAACACAGATTGGCCCAAAGTTACCCAACCAGCTTTCATGCCTAAGGAAGGTCTAGAACTCTGTCTCCTGGTTTCTAGGCATGCACATTTACCAGTACACCATATTGCCTAAATGTGTATAATGGATCTTTTTTCTATTATGCATGAGAATCCATACTGATGTGTCAGAAGAAATTCAACATCTTTGGTTCAACAATCTTTATTAGACCTTCATTATGTCCAAGTTTTGAGCTTCAAGAATTCTTCAATAAGGAAATAGACCAGGAAAAAGGAGAAAAATACATTGAAAAATAATTTGAAAACTATCTGTGTTCTTAATCATATAGCAAAACACACTGTTAAGAGTTTTTGAAACTTGAAAGCTTATTCTCTTCTGTGTCATTTGGTTGATTGTAATAAACATGGTTAGCTCTGGCTTTTTATCATGGATACTGTGTGAAATGAATTTATTTATTCATTTTATTCATTTATTTATTCATGTTTTGTCTCTTGCGGTTATCCAATGCCAACATTTAATAGAAAAATAGTTTTATATGTTTTCTCAGTTTAATGCCACTCCTCTAAATAAGTAAAACATCCCCATTTATACTATGCTTTATACTAGAGCGCCATCTGCCTGTTTTTAGAATATGCATTTTTTAATGTTTTTAATTTTGCTTGCATAATTTTATTTCCTTTCCTATTTCCATGAGAATTTGAGGACTGGATTCATTTAAATATTCTTTAAAAATACAGAATTCATGGTTTACCTACTCACAATTATTTGCATATAGCTTTATCAAAACTCCTTCTTTTGATAGGTTTGGTTTAATTTTTAGGTAACCTGATTTTTAGATTATTAAAAATTCTACCAAATATAAGAATATAGCTGAGGTTAATCCCACATTAGCTTTTAAAGCTAAGAATAAACCTGTTAAACAAATACTGTTTAAGAGTGGCATTTTACTTCTAGTTTTTTCAGGAACATGCATAAATTAACTCAAATAATGGAGCAAAGAGTTGGTTGTTTTAAATGCTAATTCAGGTTTCTTAAGAATCAAATGGAATGAGGGAACAAGTATTAAATGCCTGTTCTTGCTTTTAGTTCTTAGTTGTAAATCTGAATTCTCAAGAATGTCTCCAATGCAAATGCTGCCTAAATTATCCAAAGAAAGTCTTCACTCGTCAAAAATACAAGTTGTTTTGAATGTCTCTAATAAATAAAAGCTAATAAAGCTTTTCTCATAATAAAGTTGTGCTAAGTATAGGCTTCTTTTTGTTTGTTTGTCTCTCTAAGAAAAATACAAATAGGGTACAGTTTTCCCATGTGCATGTTGATATGCCCTCAATAAAATGCAAGACTTTATTCTTACACCATAAATAAAAATATATGCATGAACCTGCATGTTTAAACATTAAGATTTAGAAAACCTATATCTTCCATAGGAGAGAGAAAGCAGAACCAGAAAAGGAGATGCTTGGCAGATCTAATTTCCCGCAGTCATGTGTTCCCTTAACTAAAGTCTCAGCAGCTCCATTATATAAAAACATAATGCCTCCTAAACTTATTGTATGGAACTATACAGTGTTCTATAACAACTAGTTTTAGCTTCACCTTTCAGTTATTCTGAACCCTTCAGATCTCCATCATATGAATTTCAGTTTTTCTTTATAGGTAATGTTTGACTTAACGATGATCCATTTAATGATGGTTGAAATAGGGAAAAGTAATTGTTGACCTGTCTTCAAAGTTAGGACCACTGCATTGCCACCATAGTCATGTGATTAAAATTCAGGCATTTGCCAAATCAGATTACATTTACAACCGGTAGCAGCATCCTGTGGTTACCTAATCATGATTAGTGACCTTCCCAACTGGCTTTTAACAAGAAATGTTAATTGAAGGAAGCTGGATTCACATAAATGTGATTTGCTTCAGGACCATTTCTGCCCCAATTGTGGCCATAAATTAAGGATCACCTGTATGTATCTCGTGCAACACTTTGAAAAGATGTTATTTCTTAGAACACAAACAAGCATTTTTCTCTGTTGGGCATAGGAGGAGAAATCAAAAGGTGCTGCCTCATCTAAAACTAGGAAGGAGGAAAAGAAATCCAAAACACCCAAGAAGGTAAGAGATTGTTTATCATAACAATTCTACCTATTGTGATTTGTTCCACTTTTGTCTCTTGTATGAGCTGGAGAATTTCTGAAGCATCTTATGTGCAATTTTTAAGCTTATTTCTCTTATCCTCTATTGTTAGTCAGGAAGCCTGATTTTTTAAATCTCATTTCATTACTATCACCTGTTACTAGAATAGAAATCATGGAACCTGTTGCTGTACTCAGGTTAAGCAATGTGAAACTCTGGGGATACAAAGAAAAATGACTATAATCAATTGAAACTATACCCTGGCCTGAAACGTACTTATGAGAACATTATTTCTAAATTTCATGCAAAAGCTAATAATCCTCTGGAGATTTTATGGAGCCTGCGTACATTATTTGTCTAAATTTATGTGCATATTTAATAGTAGTTACTACCTTAGTTTCTTAAACATGTAAATGATAACCTTTTTGCTGTTTTAGATGCTTGTATTGGGGCTGGGAGGGATCAAGTCTGGAGTGACTTAGATTGGAGTGTTGCCTTAGCTAACAACAACTTGAATTGCTTGTCACTAAGTGATGTGGTCATGTATCATACTTTATGACCATATCACTTAGCAATAGAAATTTCTTCCCAATGGTGATTAAGTCAAGGATAACCTATGTGGCAAAAATATTTTTTGTGTATTTCAAACTCACCCCCTGCCCCAAGTCTTTATTTATCTTTTTTAAATGACCTGGCTAACGCATCATACGTTACTATGGTATGATTAACCTTGTCCTATTGACAGAACTTCATTGAACATGCTAAGCCAAAGCCACCCCCTCCCCCCCAAGACATAATTCATAACAGAATATGTGAATTCAGTGTTTACTACATGGATGCAATAACTAATGTCATGGTTCTTTTTTTCTCTCTTTTAAGGCAAAGGAGCAATCTTCCACTGCAAAATCTGAAAAACAAAAAAAAAGTTAAATGTCATCAGGTAAGGCAGTCCTAAATTACCTATCATATATAATATGCATGTGATTCAGAATGTATTAACTTTTAGAAAATCTGTAGTTATAAACCCTGACGTCAGGATAGGTTTTTCACTATTTCAGAGATTAGTTTGACTCATAGCACACATCCTGATGTCCTAAAAAATCTTTCCCGACATGGGGCCTTCTTTATAAGATGTCCTCTTGCATCTTTCCCATTAGGGATCCATTGCTGTGCACCTGAAGTAACAGACTGGATAACCTACAAGATGCATCAGCCCCTTTTTGCAGTCCCTGGAGGCCTCTCCTGAAAATATCAGCACCAAAATACAGAGGCTCATTTTCTCTTTGTTTCTTACAAATAACAAGTAAAATTAGATCATTCACAAAAGAAATAAGTTTGCTCTCTCTGGTGCTAATAGATCACTGCCATAATCCTTGAAGTTGGAATAAATCATTTTAAAAAACATATTCTCTTTGTGACTGTTGTTGGCCTTACCTGAGCTATTTTTTTCTACAGGCCACCTTTTTAATAAAACACTAGTTTTTACTTTTAGGAGCAAAGCAAATTTGATTAAACAAGGAAATTATGTTCAGTAAGAGGATGCTATTTATATGAAACATAGATGCAATGTTATGTTCTCATATCCTGGTTTTTTGTTTTTGTATCGAGTTACGAATTTGAGATGAACAGCTCTATACATTCTACATTATTGGTTAGTTTAAGTTTAAATCAATCCTGTTTATCCTGCTAATCTGGATATTTTAGTTTTTTGTTTTAAATTTCTTGCCTCAGATGTTGAATGTTATGACACACTTCCTTTTAAGAATAGAATATATTTTTATCTTTTCAGAATGTTTATCACCAGTGTGAAAATTCTTTATTTTGATGGACAGCTGCATTTGAACAAAAGCAGTTTTGCAAAAAGATAGCATCTTGGACATTTTATGGTATTGGGCTATGTTGGCATGCAAAGCATTTATTTTGCTATTTTCAAGGATGAACTCACATTTTCTAGACACTTACTTTATTGTCTGTATTATGGTCATTTTCTTAAGTTTTGAGAAGAAAAGAATGCTTTATATTTGTAAGAAAGATATTTCTTATGGATTTAATAGGAGTGAAATATGCAAAATTTTGCACATAATCTACCCACAGTGCCTGTAAATCTCAGTAAATCTATGCTAGTTTGTTATAAAAAGGAATGCTTTAATCATGAATTTGGTTGCCTTCTTACTTAGGCCAATTGCCTATGAGTACTTTTGCTGGAGAATACTTAGGGGAAAATGAGTAAATAGTGCAAAGTTTTCAAAATGGGAGCAGAGTAGAAGCTTCTACGTTGCAGCCTTGGCTTTTTATCAAATAATGAACAGTGCCATCCTCTAAAACTTGCATCATATACAAAGCATTTGTGCTACATCTGTCATTGGCTTTCTGAGAAGGATATAGTACTACATCCAAACTTATAGAGAAAAGTAACTGGTACTTTTCCCACCAACCCTCTCTCCCAAAACTGTTCTACTATCTGCTTTACTCTGAGCAATATGTAACACAAGAGCTGAATACATAGGATGGCATAGTACCCATCCATAGAATTGAGAACATGCAAATAATCCTTATCTTAGTGCAGTGTTTTTCAAACTTAGCAACTTTTGAGATGTGTGCCTTTCAATTCCTTTAATTCCCCAGCCAGCTATTTTGGGATTTGAAGTCCACACATCTTAAAGTTGTCAAGTTCAAGAAACACTGTCCTAGTGTATAGATATACAGCACAGCTGATTTCAGAATAGTTCTTAATCAGATTTCAGTGCTTCCCTTTCTTTAAGTATTCCATGCAGGGTATGTGAGAGATGGATATAGTTCCAGATTCAGATGTGCTTTGAAATCTCTCTACCCACTTGCATATTAAAATTATCACACCTGTTCTTAGGCAGCTGACTCTATAAACTAAACCAACATTACTTGCTCCAGGAATCTTAGCTGTGTGATTCCTTTTCACCTGCGTGGGGATTAAAAGAAAGAGCATGGTGTTTTCTATCACGATGTTTACTTTTTTCAAATGGATTCAATAAAAGATTTTCTTGTGGATTACATCTTTCATACTGAAGACAATGAGACTGTCCTTAATTACATGTAATGTCAATACTGAACTGTTCTTGACTGTGGCACACTAATAAACATTTTATGTATTACTTTATATTTGTTATTTTGTATTCTGTTGCAACCTGAATTCTATCGAAAATACCTTAAATATGCTGTTATATCTTCTCAATTCCTATTACCTAACCCTTAGGCATACACATTTCACAGACCAGTCCAACTTTGCTTTTATGTGCTGCTATGGATTGTGGACTTTTCACATACTTTGCCACTAGGAATTGTGTCTTAATTATTGAAATTCGATGCTACTCAACTATAAATGATCAAATTTAAAACAGCGCAACTTATTTTGGAGGGTAATACTCTGCCATTTTGTTTCACTGAGAATTCTAATATTTCAGCATATTTTAACAATGCAGAGGTCTTTGGAAATGATACATTCCAAGCCAAAAATACACTTCTCAACTTTATTCCCAGAAATCGGGAATTATTATAGTGGTAAAAACTGTACTGTTTTCTTGCCTTTAATTTGTTTCCACAAGCCCCAACTTAGCCCAAGTGGAATAATTTTAAATATATTAAGGAACAATCCTGTTGCAGAGATTTCTATCCATTTATAGACAGTATGTATAGTTTTGAGAACTTACTTTTGTCAATTCTGAATCAATAGTTCACATACAATTTCACACTTTGCTATTAATCTGTAACCATGTCTTGATTTTTTCAAGGTTCTTATCCATCCACTGGATATTTTCCTCAATTGTTTCTATTGCTTGTTGAACAGCACGGAGCTCTGAAGTTTTTTTGTCCATTGAGCTGAAATAATTTTTTACCTATTGAGGAAATACATAGAGAAATACAACTGATTCTTGCAGGATTCCTACCAAGGTAGCAACAGAAAACTAGTTTTCTCAAATAGACTTATTACTGAATACCATATGCCATGGGATGGCATTCTAAACTATTCCGTCATACCTATCTCTCCTTTCTCACTATGCCTTCAACCAGAAAGGAGTTGAAAATAAAAAAATATATTTCAGTTGACAAGAGGAGGAGGAGCCTGGTTAGTGATGAGACACTCTCTTAAGAGATATGGATCATTCCCACATGCCTCCATTTTCTGGATGGTCATGAATAGTTGCATTTTTCCCCTCCTTTCTCACAGAGGCAGCAGCTATCTCAGAAGTACTCATTCTCAAGCCCCACTCATTTCCAAATGAAAAATGTAGGAAAACATACAAACAAAATGTAATAAATTGGGTGTATTACCGTGTTGACAATATACCATTTCAAAACTAGACTTTTATACTTAATGCACGCTGTCAAGCTATAAACTATTTCTGCAATAACTAAGCATAACACAGATTCAAAAAGTCAATGAGGGGAGGGAACACGGTGCTGAACACAGGCATCCTCCATCTGCATTCAAGCAATAACTCTCAAACTGCAAGCACAATGCTCTGCAAGGACTATGTTCACATTGAGAATGTGCTTGTGTGCTCATTTCAAGGATGTTTCTTTTCTTATTCAAATCAGCCATTTAGAACACAATCAGGATATTTTTACAATATACAGAAATAAAGACTAGTTCATTGAGTTTTAAAAGTTTTAACATTTTGTAATGCCAGATGTCATGTCAGGCAAATTTTGCAAGGCCTACTGTCAGGCACAAAAAAACAGGTCCACATGTGAAGGTTCAATTTAACTGTTATTGTTAAAAGCTACACACAGGAATCTTCTCAACTAACGGTCAATGTCTGATTACAGGTAGATAAGGGTCAAGGTCAACTGGATGGGGGGGTTGGACTTGATTTGTTTATGGCTATTTAGGCTGACCCCTTTTTTCATCCCTCCCCTAGTTCTGCCAGTCCTTCTCCTACACCTCAATTGGTTATTAATTTGTTTCCAGGTCCAATTGAAAGTTCTAGTTTTATTTATAAAGCCCCACATGGCTTAGCAGCTGGTGAACCTCAAGGCTGCCCTTTCCAACTACTGTTAACCTTCTACCCTGAGAAACTGCTTTTGGCCCCAATTTTCATGAGGGGAGGTGACTTGGGAAACTAGAAAACACTGTTTTTCCATGAACTCCCATATGCTTAGTTATGAGCTCCTAGAAGGTAATGAAACTCTACTCTTCCAGAGGGCCTTTGGAAGTCTAAAACTGGATTTTGTTACTGTATTAATTAATTGAATAGTATCGTGTTTATTGCTTGAAGTGATTTTGATCTGCTGATGTTATAATGATGTTGTGTTTTGTTGTAAGCTAGCATGAATCAATTATTTGGAGATATATATATATGTGTGCGTGTGTGTCATATGTATGTATATATATGTGTGTGTGTGTGTGTGTGTTGATTAGAATAAGTTTAGTACAGCCAGCTGGGTGACCTTGAGCCAGTTACTCTTTCAGCCCTAGGAGAAGACAATGGCAAATCCCTTCAAAAATGTTGCAGAAGAATGCATGAACTTGTCTATACAATTGCTATAAGTCAAAATTAGTTTGAAAGCACAAACATATGTATCTTTATATACACAAACACAAAACTAAACATTATTATATATTCTTACCAATTTGATTCTCTCTATATAAAAATGGTTTGCACTGATTTAAGATAAAAATATTGTGTCACATTTACTTATATAGACTGTCAAAGATATATTTACCTCAGCAAGCTGTTCCTTTGTGGAATAGTGATTTGTTATGCCGGTAATCATGTGTGCAAGTGAGTGTGAGCCAAGGTCAAATCTACAAGAAAAACAAACAAAACCAACAGCAAACATCAACAGAGTAAACAGTTTTGTAGGCTTCCTCAAAACAAAATAAAGTGCAAGAACATGAAGGTCATACATACTTTTTTACAAGTTTCTGCCAGTTTTGTTTTAAAAATTTCCAAGCTAATTGATATCCATAAGGATTCCTTCCAACACTAATAACTATAGAAGGAAGTTCTTGAGTCTTTATTATGTCACCTTGCAATGCTTGATCCATTAGCCTAAAAAGAACACGATCAAACAAGTTTTTCAATTAAGCATGGATACATGAAATATGTGCAGAAATTTGTTAAGAAAATTATATCCCTTATTGAAGCTAACAAGGAGTACAACAAATAATGCAGCTTTTTAATTCGTTTTCTCATTGATTCACTCAATGAGTGCATGGCTAGTACTCCCCCAAAGTAATGATGTTCTGATTTTCCTGTCTAGCCCCATCTTGGCAATATTGTTTCACAAAACAATAATTGATTTATCCCATGTTTCTAAGTGGCCTAGATGCAAATATATCAGTTAAAAACAGTCATTTATTTGGAAGCTTCTTTTGTCTTTTAATATATGTAAAGTAGAATATATGCACAACATAAAGGAAGTTGATGTTTTGAAAAAGCTGATTGTGAATATGGATTAACATATAAAGACTTGCTAGTACAGGAAAATAGGGAAAATAACTGACTGCAGAGGGATTTAGTTTTCAATAGTTTTAATATGTGAAATTAAAATATTTAGTATAGATTTTAAAAGGACCAGGAATAGAATGAGATAAAATATATAATTTTTTGTTGAGATTCAAAAAGGAGGAAAAGCAAGTTAAAGGGTCTGAAAGTCCCGGAAAGTTCAATGCAAACGTTTTAAAAATGATGTTGCATGACCCCAGAAAAGTTGTCTTAAGATGTATAAAGATACTTCTAATCATTGTTGGAAATGTGAAAAACATGAAAAAACATTTTCTTATGCATGATGTCAAAGAGCAAAAAACATACTGGACACGAATGCATAAACAATACACATGGTGATCAGAGCATTTGAAAAACTAATATTCAGATAAAACTGGAACTTTCTTACTAGGTTTTATGAACTATCAATTAGAAAAGGCTTATGGATGATTGGTTTTATATAGAGTAACTTTGAGGCTACTATATACACAAGGATGGAAGACTACAGGAAGTCTTCAATTTACAACCATTTGGTTAGTGACCGTTTGAAATTAAAACAACATTGAACAAAGTGACTTATGACCATTTTTCACACTTACAAGTGTTGCCACATCCCCATGTTGACATGATCAAAATTCAGATGCTTGGCAACTGGTTTGTATTTGTGATGGTTGCAGTGTCCTGGGGTCATGTGATTACTTTTTGTGACCTTCTGACAAGCAAAGCCAATGGGGAAGCCAATTTCACTGAACAACTGTTACTAATAACAACTGCAGCGATTAACTTAATAACTGTGACAAAAAAGGTTGTACAATGGGGCAAAACTCAACAACTGATTTGCTTAGCAACAGAAAATTTGGGCTCAATTGTGGTCATAAGTGGAAGACTATCTGTTCAGAAACATCAGTAATGGATGAGTGGATTATAAAGATGGCTGAGTTTACAGAAATGGGTAATTTGACTTGCAAGTCAATGCAAAAACTACTTTTTTAAAAGACTGGAAACCCTGTATAAACTTTTTGCTGACAATGAATAAAACTGAATGGTTGATATTTGTCTGCGGGAAGAAAGGAAGTATGATGGGAGGGTAAAGATGGTAATTGCTATGTTTATAACCTCTGCAAAGAAGATTTTAGTCATTTTAGACATCTTGCTTTTTATTTATTCATTTTTCTACCCTTTTATAATATTTTTCTGTCTATGTTTCCATAGTTTTTAAAATCTTTATAAAACCTTTTAATAAAAATTATTTATAAAAAAGCTAATTGTAACTGTGGAATGGCTTTTTAATGAAATAACATTCTACTGACAAAATATAAATAAATATTAAACAGGGCAAAAGATAAAGATGAGGAAAATATAGTCTGGGACAGAAGATTAAAAGCTCTTGTTTGGCTGTTTCCTACTTGGTATTAAAAAACTTGTCAATTCTTCCTTGTTCCATCCAAGCTTGAGTTGCCTACTGACCCCAAAGTAACAGTAATATCAAACTGCATTTCTCTGCATTTAACAACATGTGCAATTAATGTATAATTAAACAATTATAATTTGATAATTGTTGCCCGCCAGAAACAGTTATTGCATAACTATTAAATGATCATGAAAATGTAAGAAATGCGTATTGAGAGAGCTACAATGTTAATATATGAGCTAGTTCCTTTGAATTTAAAATCACCCAAGTTACTTGAAGAATGCTTACCACTGAAGCTTTTCTTTGTTTTGGCTCAGACACAGTACAACTTCAATCTGATTCTTTTCAGTATCGAATTCAGGTAACTGATACTTGCTGAAAAGGAAATCCCAGTTTTCATCTGTTTGTATTCCAACAGCATATACTGCCATCTTAATGTTATTCGGCAATCTGTAACAAATTGTGCTCATATTATTCTCTGAGAAAGAAATATTAAATTAACGCTATTTATTTGATTCAGTTTGCAAAGTGTATCTCCCACCAAACAGGATTACAAGACCCCTGAATAGAAGTCTTCTTCCTGAAGACAGAAGAATATTGTCTAAGCACCCTTAAAAAGTGAAATACGTACTTCAGAGTTCCATCTGAGTCCTTCCATTTCGTGAAGTACTCTTGTGCCTTGTCTACACATGGTTTGTATTTACGTACACATGCAAATGTAAGTAGGGAGGTTCGAAGTATTTGCTCAGACACGGTACCTTCATCATCCCAAGACTGTTTGTCAATCATATTTTTAAATAGATTTACTATGTATGCCTAGAGTGATTCGTGAAATAAAAAAATAAGGTTGTAATAAATGTAAATCAATTATTTAAAGCAGCAACCAACAATCTTGTTATTCAATCTAAAGTCATATTGCTTGTATCTTTCATAAATCACAAACAGAAAGCTGGATAGGATGCATACTCCCTATGGTTTAAGGAACAATTTCCTTTAATAACAAAAAATATAGAAATTATTTCATTTATGTGATCTTGTTTATAAAATTGTAATCATACAGTGCATATGCATGCCTATGCATTGTTCTTAGAATAGTCATAACATCACTCTAGTCTGTACAAAGAGAAGAGATTCCAACAAAAGAGAACATCTGTAGCTCAAGGTTGAACTGTGGAGTCCTTGGCGCTGTCTGAGTTTGTTGTTTGCTTGGAGATGTTTCATTACCCAACTAAGTAACTTCATCAATGCTTTGGCGATTATTAAAAGACATTAAAAAGAAGGGATTAAGGAAAGGGATAGGTAACATTAACAGTGCTTTAGGGATCACTAAAACATTAAAGGAAAGGATTGTTAAAAAAAAAGAAGTAATTGAAAACTCATGCTTTGCAGCTTTGTCCTATATTTACTACTTTTATTTGCCAAACTATAAAGGAATGCAAGATACTCCATTGACTCTGTCTAGGCCCAGGAAACTGTTCAAGAATGAACATAGGTGTGCATATTTTTTTAAAACACCCAAGTAATTTGATTTCTTGAAACTGAGAAGCAGACAATCCTTTAGAGCAGAATTTCCCAACCTTTCCAGGTTGGTCAGGGGGAGGGACGGGAAGAGGGGATGGTTTGTGTGAGGGCTGTTGTGTGCACACGCAGCTTCATTTGTGTGAGCGGCGGGCATGTGAATGGGCTGTGAACCCCGGTGCCTACCGCTTGCAAGAATGGGGCTCGCATGAGTGGGGCTCGCATGAGTTGGTTGTGCTCATGTGGCCTGGTTGCAAATAAGCCACAGCCATGGCTCACAGGTTGGGAACCCCTGATTTAGAGACACAGAATTATAGGATCGAAAAGACCATTCATGTCTTCTACCCCAGCCATCAGCGTAGGAACATTGTTATGCCACACCAATGATTGTCTGGGCTTTACTTGAAAACCTCAAGTGTTGGAGCTCTCATGACTTCAAGGGGCAGGCTGTTCCATTGCTTAACAGCTCACAATCCTTTCCAAAATAAATATAGCATTCAATAATATTTAATATTACATAACATGTAATTAATTTAGTGCGTTACAGATTAACCGACTGTAACTTTATTTTGAAGAATATTCTTAACCAATTTCCTATTTTCATACATTTTCTAAAGAGAAAAAAATAGCTGAAGGTTTATCAGCTGATTTTATATCTAGGAGGAGCTCCAGTTAAAGTAATTTAACTAAGAACATATTCCAATAGAGAACTTATCTAGTAATACCGTTAGCTGGAATGTGTTTATACTGCTGTTAGCAGTGGTTACAGTGCTAATGACAACTGAAAAGATCTAAATCCATCATCTGACTTGAAACATCATTGGCTAGCATTAGCCAAGCTTATGTTATATATGTTGTCCAATCAATCAATTCTGATGAAGAATGCTGATGATCAATCCTGATCTTTGAATATTTTGCCAATATGTTAGTTTGTGTGTATGTATTTATGACTTACTACCACGATGAGCAAGTACCATTACTGTGGTAGTAGAGAACTACCAGCATTCTACAAAAAATACTCCATCTTGGAATTTTTAAGTTTAGAAAGAAACAAAATAAAATTCATTTCATTTAGCATAGAACATATCCACTGATTATTTTAAAATCTATGTAAGTATTCAGTTTTATTCTGCCTTAACTCTTTCTTATTTTACCTTTAATTGTTGTTCTGTGTCATTTATGTTTGTCTTCTCCAGCAGTTTATACAAAGGAACTAGCTCATTCAGTCCTTGATATACAGGAGTAATTTCAGATTCATGTTTTAAGTATAATGTTAAATCAAGAGCTTTTTCAATTGACAATTTTCCAGCACTGAGGAAATAGAAAATATGTTTTAAAAAATAATATTTTTGTAGGGTCTGGATCATCTTCCTTATAAAATTTCTAATTAACAATGTATATTAACCAAATATATTTTAGTTTTTTCTTTTTACCATGGTTGAACATAAATTTGTAATCAGGTTAAAACAATAGGTACCTTTTTGTAATGATGTATTTGTCTAAAAAAGCAAACTAATTTTGTGTTCTAGATAGTAAATGCACTGAAACGTACTGTAGCACTATGCTAGTGATGACAGCTGATACATTACAGCTTCTCCCATGAAAGAGCTCTAAATTCTTGAACAATAGCTTCACTGGCACAGGTAGTCCTCGATTTACACCTGTTTGTTTAGTGACTGTTCAACGCTACAAAGGCACTGAAAAAAGTAACTGATGACCGTTTTTCACACTTACAACTGTTGTAGCATCCCTTTGGGCACATGATCAAAATTTGGATGTTTGGCAACTGGTTCACATTTATGACAATTGCAGTGTCCTGGGATCATGTGATCTGCTTTTACGACATTCTGACCAGCAAAGTCAATGATGAAATCAGATTCACTTAACAACCGGGTTACTAACTCATCCACTGCTGTGATTCACTTAACAACTGAGGCAAGAAAGGTCATAAAAGGGGTTAAAACTCACAAATGTCTCATTTTACCACAGAAATTTTGGGTCTAGGACTTTTCAGCTCAGTCTCTTCGCCTTGCCTGTTTTGCCTTGAGATTTTCGCCTCTGGGTTATTAGCCACAAACTTTTCTCCTCGGCTGGCCCTCCGCCAGTCTTTAGCCCCGGCACAATGGCCACGGCCACTCCCTCCCAGGCGGTTTGTTGCAGCCCTTACACAGAAGGAGGTTTTGCCCTAGGTTTTTCAACACCTGGGACCCTTAAGGCCCAAAAAATCAGCTAGAGGGGGAAGGAAGGAAGGAACAGCCTTAGTGAAATGGGAAGGAGAAGGAGGGAGAAGGAGGAAGGGGACTTCCACCTCTGGCTTTTTTTTCGAGAGAAGGAAGAACCCTTTTCAGGCCAGATATCCAAATCGATAACTAATGACAATGAATAATTTACGGCATTGATTCCTACCCCCCAAAAAGGGGGGAGATATTGGCAAATATCCCATTCAAGATTTAGAAAGAAAGAAAAGGAAATTGTAAAAGCGCTCTGTTCCCGCCCCTGCCAGTTCCCCCAGTTCAAAGGGTTATTTTTTGCAAGGGGACGAGTTAGTTGCAATTAATTTCTTAACCAAAAGCAACAGATAGTAGCGCTTCCTAAAGAGAACTTGGAGAGATTTATGTTTAGGAAAAATCCCTTTCAGATAAGGCAGCTATCAAAGATATGATAGACACAAAGGATGGCTGTGTGTTGTGTTGAGGGAAAGTGTCAAGTGGCATATCACCAAGGTTAGATCCTGTGTTGTTCAAAATATTTATAATTAGAATGAGAGGTTAGAAAAAAATAATTATCGAGATCGCAAATGCCTAAGAGAGCAATATCAAGATTCAAGAGCATCTTGAAAAATTGGAGAAATGGGCAGAAACAAGTACAATTAATTTCAACTAGGACAGAAGTAAAATCTTTCATTCATGTAGGAAAAAACAAAGATTTGGTTATAGCAAATAATGTGTGTATCTGCACGGGCGTGTGTACGTGTCTGCGTGTGCGTGTGCGTGTGTGCTCCTGAGCAGATACCCTAACTTAGATTTTACATCTTCCTGCAACAGATTCCTTTCTTGGCAGTGTTTATCTTTTGTTATATTTTCCCTCCTTTTGTCTTCCTAATACACCACCTATTTGGTTCCCTATTAACAGCACAAAAGGTGTGTGGATTGCTGGTATGCCAAGTTGTAACACACACACACCATCCCCACCCTCTCCTGAAATCTGCACAAACATCTCAGGAAGAAAAGAACAAACAAACTGAAGCGCTACTATCTGTTGCTTTTGGTTAAGAAATTAATGTCAACTAACTCCTCCCCTTGCAAAAAATAAAAAAAATAGTTATCGATTTGGATATCTGGCCTGAAAAGGATTCTTCCTTCTCTTGAAAAAAAAGCCAGAGATGGAAGTTCCCTCCCATTTCACTAAGGCTGTTCCTTCCTTCTTTCCCCCTCTAGCTAATTTGCTGGGTCCTAAGTGTCCCAGGTGTTGAAAAACCTAGGACAAAACCTCCTTCTGTGTATGGGCTGCAGTGAAGCGCCTGGGAGGAGGGGCCGTGGCCATTGTGCCGGGGTGAAAGACTGGCGGAGGGCCAGCTGAGGAGAAAAGTTTGTGGCTAATAATCCAGAGGCGAAAACCTCAAGGCATAATGGGCAAGGCAAAGAGACCGAGCCGAAAAGTCCCATTCCGAAATTTTGGGCTCAATTGTGGTCGTAGGCCAAGGACTACCTGTATAGCTCTGTGGCCTTCAATACACTTTCAGCTCAGTTTTCATCTACAGTCACAGGCTTTTTATACAATGTTTTATATGGCCTTGGATTATCTTTAAATCCTTTGGCATAATTCTCAGCTAGGAAAATCGGAACACAATTCTCAGCTAGGAAAATCAAAAAGGGTGCATAACATATCTGACATTCTAACTCTATTTCTCAATATACAACAGCTATTTCCTTTCTTAGCTCATGATGTGCCCTACCTTTGGATACATTCAGATATTCTGTATTACTTCAACCAGTGCCTCCTGCAAAATGTGGAATATGCTTGTTTCTCCCATCTTTCTTTTAAAGAAGTTAAATGAAGTTAAATGAGGGGCTTCTTACAGCAGGCATCCATGCTTGCTTGCTTGCTTATTTAATTCCTTCATTGCCCCAGTCCTCAAATATTAGGCATGTGCAAATCTTGCACTCTTACCTCACCAGCTGGAATACATTGTTAATGAGGCTTGCTCGATCATTGCTGCTTATTTTTTCATGATTGTCTTTTAACAGGCGAATTAGAGAATCCCAGCCATGATCTCCATAATGCACAATATAATAACCATTCATTCCTACATTAAATTTTATCCAATCCACTTCTTCTGGGAGGACTATGGCATCTAAAATCAAAATATATCATATATATCACAATTCACAGTAACACTTGATTTATTTACATTCATCACCCTGGTGGTGCAGCAGACTAAAGCACTGTTATTAACTATTATTAACATCAGCTGCCTGCAATTACTGCAAGTTCAAATCTCACCAGGCTCAAGTTGACTCAGCCTTCCATCCTTTCAAAGGTAGGTAAAATGAGGACCCAGATTGTGGGGGCAATAAGCTGACTTTGTATAAATATACAAAAGTATGAAGGCTATTGCTTAACGCACTGTAAGCCACCCTGAGTATTTGGAGAAGGGCGGCATATAAATCAATTTTTTTTAAAAAAAAGTTATAAATAAGGATTTTTGCCACATTCTTTTTCGAAAGCATACCTTCAATATGTGGATATGCACCTGATTTTTAATGACTGAAAAAGTATCACAATCCTAAAATTCAATATTCCCTAAGTTTTGAATTCTTCCAAAAATGTATTAATGTATCAATAACTGATTGAAATATATATTTAAAAGAATTATGCAAAATGCTTTGTGAACAAAAAAATAAATAAAGCAACCTCACAATGGTTTTGAGTTAAGCAACACCTCTGTTGTTTAATGTTTGAAATCTTATGTAGGTCTCCACGATTTGAGTTAAACTTACTTGTTTTGGTTGTCAGCAAGAACCTCTGAACGTCATTACATTTATTGGTAAGATATGTCAATGGAATGTGCCACAGACTTCTAAAAACAAAATCAACACCATGATTTTTGAAACAGATTGAATGATTTTTAAACAGATAAAATGAATGTATTTAAAAAAAAAACATTGAGTTGCATCACTTTGAGGGATAGAGGTTGTAAACATTAACCTGGGTAATAGTGTGTAGTAATAAGGACACATTTAGGAAGGTGAAAATAAGGTTATGTTCCTAAAAAGTATTTAAATGATTGATTCAACCTTCCTCCCATGTTAATGACAATTATTACTGTTTAAACAGTTATCTAATGTTTACTCTGGAGTAAATTGAATGAGTAATTTTCTGTAAGAAAGATATATATGCATGAATTTGTCTACTTAGCTTCCTAAGAGCTAGAAACATCATATGGATTCCTAGAGAAGAAGCAGATTCATCAAGTAGATTTCTAGAGAGGAAGCAGGGAGAATTTGACACTTCACAGCAGCTGCCAAACTTTTGCAAAAAGTAACCCTTCCAACTGTTTGCTGTTGTTTTTTTGCTGAGAGACAAGGCTCTTTTGCAAAATTGTTTCATCAATTCCTGTCATTCCTAAGCAATTGCAGGCTTGGGTTGCTTAGTAGGAGCCAGAGCAGAGAGACAGAATTAATGTAAGCAGAACGGGCTGGCTCTGGTAAGCGAGAAAGCCAAGTGTAGGCCATGTACAACCACACTGGAACTGAAAATCCTACTCGCAGGGAGGATTTTCAGTGTCAGAGTGACGCTTTACAGGGCTTGCATCACCTTGCTGAAGCACCCAACGTGCCTTATCCTCAATTCCGTCTACTTAACAACACATGAGATCGCTTAACAATTGCAAGTGGGAGAGTCAGAATTGCAGTTGTTGAGTGAAGCAGTCAAATGGTGTCTCGCTTAATGACTGCTTCGCTCAACAACCCAGATTCCAGGGCCAACTGTGGCCCTAAATCAAGACATATCCGTGTCATGAAGTAGAATCAGTATAAAATATAATCAGAAACAAGTCACATTCGTTCATTATTACCCAGCTGTTGAGGAAAAAGTAGGTTTTTTTGAATAATGTTCTTGTTGTAGATGGACATTTTTCCCTTTAATAGTAACTGTCACTAGAGGAAATCCTTTCTGGAGCGTCCATGTATTCATCACTGCCTGCACATCATGGAGCACAGCTTTGGTCCAGTGCTACATATAAGTTACAAAAATATAAACAAAAACATAGGTCTGTACATTGATAAAAAAAAGTAGTAGTCATAGAAATTAAAAAATACAAGTGTGCCATATTTTAATCATTCGCAAAGTCATCAGTGTAATGTCCTTAACTGTGATATTCTTTTCAGCATAAGGAAGCAATGTTTTAATGATAATTCCTTATTCTTGTAAGAATCAAGTAATATCCCTAATAAGTTCCAGAGTCTTCATTTTTATTTTCAATGATCTATCTACCAAAGGAACAAGATTTATCTTTGAATTATTTTCTGTAGCTATACAATTCTAAACAATGTCCCAACTCAGTTAATATAAGAAATTATTTGCTACATGGAGAACAAGTTAAACTTGTGTACTTCTGCCTTTTTTTCCCCTGCCACATCAGCAAAGTAATGAAGCTTAGTCATTTATTTATTTTAATCAGCTGTAATTTTCCAAATAAGTTGATGAACTTTTAAAAATTCAATTTAAACAATGTTTTATTTAAAATATGTTTTAGGAACAAAACCAGTACGTTCTTTTTTTTAAAAAAAAACAGCAACAACATATGTGGCCATGAAAGAAATCTCAAGGTTCACCATGTTTCTTTCATTGGAAATTTTTAATTTATATTAGAAGAGAACTAGAACAATATGTAACTGCAAAAAAATCATAACTGTAAGGGGATCCATAGCATTTGTTATGTTTTGCCTACATGCTAAAAAATTATTTGTGAAAACAACCTGATAAAACTACAAGCTTTTTGAAAGAAATGCTTGCTACGAATACAATCCAAAACAAATGTCTGTGATTCTTTTAAATATTTCAGAACATTCCATCTAGAATATCTTAATTCACAGATTGGTGGTTTTTCACTTAGGCATTAGCTTTTGTCAAAATGACTGCATACTAGCAATCAGTTTTACTGATTGAAAACTTTGGTCTCCAAATATCAAGTTGTTGTACAATGCACCTTTAGTGTTATGCAAAACAATTCAAATCCATGTTTGAACTTGAAAGACTCTGTTCCAAGTTGGAAACAGCTGTTCTGACCTCAAAACAGAGTCACTTTGAGTTCAGTCTTTTTCAGAATAGTTGGAACAGTACTCAAAGGGTTCAGTAGATAAGACTTAAAATATTCTATTCCAACTCCATACCTTACAAATGAAAAGAATGTATCACAACTTCAGTGACATAATATGGATAGCTGCCTAGAGTTGCTGGACAATGAGACAGGCAGTACACATATCAAATAGAAAAAAAAGAAAAGAAAGAGAGAAGGGGAGGGAGGAAGGAAGGGAGGAGAAAGAAATAAAGAAATAAAGAAATAAAAAGAAAAAAGAACGAAAAATTATCTCACTGAGTTTAAGACTCTCTCCTTGTTTCTGATACAAACTCCATTTTGACTTCCATCAGCATCTGGACAAACCTAACCAATAAATAATTATTAAAGATATTACAAGATGAACATCAGTGCTGCTCAAGAACATCTTAAAATTAGATATTTTGGGAGAAGAAATACTTCTCAAATACTTGCATCTGATAAGCTGTCCCACAGATCTTTGTTTTTTGTGTTCTGATAACTGAATCGCAACAAATATTTCACAAGACCAGCTTGAAAAATTTCTGGGCTGAGATAGTCCTGTAGCATATTGAGAATACAAGCTCCCTGTAAATAGAATGAAATAATACAAAATATATCTGGTTTTTTTTCATGTTTAGGGATTTGGACTAATATCATGTCCATATAGTCACTGATCATGGTACTAAATCAGGGGTGAAATGCTCCCAGTTCAGACCGGATCGCCCGATCCGGTAGCGATGGTGGCGGGTAGTTCGGAGAACCAGTAGCAAAAATCCCTGCCCCCCCACCATGCTCAGCTGAGTCGCACGATCATCAGAGGCTTTTTTTTTTTTACTTTTAAAAGCATTTTTTCTACAACCTCTTCCAACAAAAAAAATGCTTTTAAAAGTAAAAAAAAAAAAGCCTCTGATGATCGCGTGGCTCAGCTGGGATCCTCAGAGGCTTTTCAAAGCATTTTTTTCTGCAATCTCGTGGCCGAAGACTTTTCAAATGCTTTGAAAAGTCTCTGACGATCCCAGCTGAGTTGCCTGATCGTCAGAGAGGCTTTTCAAAGCATTGTTAAAAAAGCCTCTGACGATCCCAGCTGAGTTGCCTGATCGGCAGAGGCTTTTCAAAGCATTAGAAAAAATGCTTTGAAAAGTTAAAAAAAGAAGTTGGCCACCCCCACCCAGTCACATTACCACCCCCACCAAGCCACGCCCACAGAACCGGTAGTAACACATTTTACATTTCACGCCTGTACTAAATCCTATTTTTTGTCTCTGCAGTTTGAGATTAATGACCCTAAAAATATTTCTGATAAACATTAAGATTTATGGTTTTGATGATTAGGAAAAAATGGACAAGGGAGGGTATGGCTTTTTTTGTCATCACATAGAAAGAGAAAATTTTGTAAATATACTTATATTTATGCTACACAAAAAATCTGAACCTTTTTTCTATTTTTTTCCTTTAAATTTTTTCAGCACTTTTGCTTTTCTTTTTTCTTTTTTTCCCCTTTCCTGCTTTTGCACTTTATTAGTTTGCATTAGTGTTTGTGTTTTTATAACTTTAATAAAAAATCATTAAAAGTAGAGTATCATATAGTCTGACCATCTTAACAATGAAAATGAAAAACACTTTCAGAGATAAACATAGTACCCAGAATTATTAAACTTGGCCAAAATTTCTTATTTTACCTTGTCATAGGAAACATCATCAAACATTTCTAGAATCTGAGCTGGATTTTCAACAGGAGTCGATATAGGATGTGAAGAATTTAAAGCATCTACTTCCATGGCATTAAAATACTTGTTTAAAAAATGATCTTCCTAAACAAAAGAAAAAGAAGCCCAGATAAGTCTTCTGAGATTTTGACCTCATTTTAAAATGAGACATTGAGATAAACTTACATTTAATTATTTATACAGAATTAATACTTTACTACTTCATTTATGACTTCAAACTGCTTTATATATATTTTGAGTACCATTACTTTTGGTAAGAGTGGAGAATGAGCATATGTACTCCTATCATGATCACAAAGTGGTCAAAGCAAAATTAAACTTTAATCCCCCCCCCCATCTGACCTCCAAATCCAAATTGTGGTAATTTCACTAAAAATTAATGTAAAATAATTACTATAATCTATTTAAAAAATACTTTTGCTGGTAACATGATTATCTTTAATATTACTGGAACATCCAATTCCAGCATTGAATTAAACATTGATAGGGTAATATTTCATCCAATTGATGAAGCAAATTCTAGGCCCAAAAATCTTAAACCATAATAAATTAGTCTTTAAGGTGTTTCGTATTATTTGTCTGAAAATATTGGTCTCAGTAGAAAGAAGATATTTTTTTTTCTTTATGGGCTGAGAACAAAAGGAATGTTGGCAGACTCCATTCAAATATTCCACTTCCCAAAAGAAATAAAGGGAGAACAGGAAATAGTAGGAAATAACTCTCTTAAGTCCTAAGTGACTTAGAAAATATTAGTGTTAGTATTATGGGAAAATGGGTACAATTTGATATGTAATTTACCCCCCTTTTAATAACTCTGTAATCCCTTCACTGGGGTGGAGTCAGGATGATGGATTGGAGCTCGAGCATTTACTGGCTGGATGCCCTTCCTGACACCTATGCAGTATTCACAGTAGATTATTATTCATTATGCCCAGAGAGAGAAATATCTTCCGCTACTTGGGATCGAACTCACAGCCTCCAAATTGTGAGGCAAGAGCTCCACCTCTACACTACCATGCCACTCACATAATTCACTGTATAATTATTTTCATTAATTATAAAATTTCATGCAGTGCTACACAATCATGTCTACAGTCTAAAAACTTTGCCGAGTCTGCCTAGTGCAAATCTATAAAGGGGGGAAAGTGTCTATTTTCAGTCCTGGGATTTTCTTGACTTGTTATTAAAATAGGAGAATACTTACAACTTTCAGTTCTGGATGGGTCTTGCTTACTGACACAAATTCCATAAACTTTGCAAAACCTTCATTAAGCCAAAGATCATTCCACCATTCCATGGTAACCAAATTTCCAAACCACTATGAAAAAGAATACATATGCTGGCTTTAGTCATTTATATAAATGGCACAATGTAACTGTCAACTGATGTTCTCCTCTGATTTCAGAAGGAGTTGTTGCCAGATAATTAAAATATAACCTTCAATTTCATATATGAAAAGCAAACTATAAATTACCTGATGAGCAAGTTCATGGGCTACTGTCATAGTAATTCCAAGTTTACTTGATACTGAGGATTTTTCAGAATCATATAACAAAGCAGATTCCCTGTACGTGGTCAATCCCCAATTTTCCATTGCACCAGACTGAAAATCTGGAATAGCTGCTAGATCTGTAATGAAATGTTATTTTCTTAAAATCTGTTTACACCATATAATACACCTGGAAAACGGACATGCACGTACATACACATACACTAAGTTCAAATATTTAATGATATGGAAATTTTTCAAAAGTAATCGTAAATCTTTTTGGCCCTTTAAAAAACATTCTTCAGAGTTTTTTTTTTAAAAAAACAACAATTTTACTACTCTATGCAATGTAGACTGAAAAAGAACATACAATTAAAAATAGCAGTGAAAAAAGATGATAGCAATATCTAGATAAAAGTAGTAGTCTTTGGGACTGCATATGAAATGTTCCCACAAGACTGTTTACGCATAAGAAAAAATCTAGAACTCTTTACATGGGTGATTTTTCTGACATAACTTCATCATATTAAACTCAATAACACTTCAAAATGTATAGGACTGCAATCTGAAATTCCATTTTCCATTGAGTTGGTTCGTATCTTAGCAACATTATCAGCAATAAAAAGTCTAACTTCCTAATAGGAAACTTAACACTCATTGGAAGGAACTTTGAATTGAATAAGAATTTGTTTACATAAAGCACATATTTTTTAAAAATCTAACTCTAAAGGATTTTTTAAAACTTTTAAAAATGACTTTAAATTAGAGAATTAATCCGGCTGCTTACTATACTTTTCAGATGTTTAACAGTATCTCAGAATAATATATATATACCTTGTTTTGGCAAAGGATATGCAATGCCAAAATATCCCTCAAAGAAGTCTAAAAGTTTCACTGCTGCATCCAAAGCATACTCTGCTTGTTTGATTTTGTGTGGCACAGCATATACTGAAACCTAAAAGACACAAGCAGGAATGGATTTTGAACATACTGTTAGGTTGCATCAAGATAGGTTTCTCAGAACATAGTCCCAAATTACTAAAATCAGCACCCAGAATTGCACTGGGCAGATCAAAAAAGATAGTTTTGTTGGATTTACTTCCAGTTCTGTTTAGGATGGGAACAAGCCAAAGCTTCTAGGTTTCATGTCATTCTAATTAATAGAAGTTTTGTTCAATTACTTCTGTTACCATAAGCCTGGTGTAACAACTGAGAACAATTCTAAATATGAATCATTACTGTGGTACTTTATAAATAAATATCAACATTTTTTTAAAAAAATATCTATGTAACCCCTTATTCAACAGCTTGAAAGCAATAGTGCAAGTCTAAGCATTTGATTATTATGTTCCATCAATAGATTTTGGAATTTCTGAAAAATTAGTTAAAATCAGACTGTGCTCATTTTCAGAAATCATTTTATAATTGCTAGCTTGTGCTTGAAGCTATATAAATGTTTATACAGATAAAATCAGCTGATGCTAAATAATTACCTTAATTCCACGTAATGTGTTCTTGGTAACTGATTCAAAGTCTGAAATAATGAAGGCTACTAAGTAAGTGCTCATCTTTATACTGATATCAAACTGGTCCTCAATAAGCCATTCATTAATGTTTATTGATTTCACCTAAAATTTAAAAACACAATTACTTTTTGCTTCTAGTTGAAAACTCCAAGATTGTTCGGAATTAAGTCTTTCGTAATTCTGTTCAAACTCTCACTGCAAAAAGATTATAAAAATGTTATGCTAATTTTACAAAACACTCTTTTGCAGCAAAGACTATACTTGCCCGTTTGAAGGGCCACTAAAATGTAAGTTATACATGTATGTCTATGCAACTCATTAATAGTTACGCATTAGCGTGTTCTACAGAGCAGTTGAATCCAAACCTATCCAGAAGAAAACATCATTAAGTTTAACCGGACATCTTTCAAGAAGTGTTGCAGCTCAAAATAGGAAAGGATGCCACTTTTGAGGATATAAGTAATTTTGATTTCAAGTTTCAGTATATTAACAATGAATTTTCTATTTTGATTTGATGTGAACATTCTGTGCATAAAATAAATGGAACATTTTTAGTCTTCTCTTAACAAATATTTTTCTTTTATCTGCCTTTTAAAATATTCAAAGTATGCATATACCAAAGGCATATTAGATAGTGCTAGGTGCTTTGGGCTTCTTCTGATCTTAATAGAAAATGTTGCTTTTAGTGCAGGTTCATCAAAGCACGGAAAAGCCATACGTGCAGCTGTTGGCTCAAACTGGGTTGATGCAAGCACCCTGGAATTAAGACAAAAACGAGTACATTTAAAACCGACGATGCAGATAAAATACATGGTAAAATGTTTACTAGTCCACATTTCACTTCAATAATATAATTTACCTTATATTTATACATCGGGAAAAAGAAGAAGTATAGTCATTAAAATGACATTAAAATGACAATGCCTACATGTTTTTTTGGAAATAGGTACTTCTGCTTATTGGGCTGTATTCTGAGATATGTGTACAGGTAGTCCTTGATTTACAACCACAATTGAGCCCAAAATTTCTCCTTGTTAAGTGAGATATTTGTTAATTGAGTTTTGCCCCATTGTACAACGTTTCTTGTCCCAATGGTTAAGTGAATGACTGCAGTTGTTAAGTTAGTTACATGGTTGTTAAGTGAACCTGGCTTCCCCATTGACTTTGCTTGTCAGAAGGTTGCAAAATGATCACATGACCTTGAGATACAGCAATGGTCATAAGTATGAACCAGTTGCCAAACATCTGAATTTTGATCACATGACCATGGGGATGCTGCAGCAGTCATAAGTGTGAAAAATGTTCATAAGTCACTTTTTCCAGTGCCATTATAACTTTGAACTATCATTAAATGAACTGTTGTTAAGTCGAGGGCTACCTGTACAGAAGATTAGTCTGTATCACATCTGCTTTTCTCGAATTTACAACTTGAAAGGTTCTCTCAGATTGCCTGTTTAATAATGGATTTGTTTTTTTAATGGATTCCATGGTGAAAGATATCCCAAAGATTCATTTTAGGAGGGAAAAGAAATGCGTGAAAATAAATAACCAATTCTAGAATACGACATATACCCCTTTATATACTAGCATTAAGGTGAAGGATGAAGAATGAACTCTCTACCAGAGTAACTTTACCACGTTACCACCGTTATAACTGAAACGGTAAGCTAAATATACTGTATTGCCCTATTATAATATAGGAAGTATTATATTTAGACCTTGGAAAATATTTATCAGAACCTTCTGGAGCATGTGTACTAGACAGGAAAATTCCCTAGGATTTTTCAAAACATATCTAAAATATTATCTAGTCCTATTTGGGGAATTAGTTTACAGTTGTTTTAACTTAAGGATAATGAAAATGGTTGAGATATTACACAGCCATCATTACCCTTAGCCTCTGACCATCTGGGTTTCATATTAAGTTAGATTAGATGGGTTTAGGAAGTTACACAGGCTTTGTTTAAAGCATTAAAAGAAGTACTGTGAGATCTCTTCTTAAAAAATCCTAATTGAAGCTGACAAACTGTAACAACCTACCTACAAATATTTTCCTCTGGAGCAAAAAAATTATGCTGTCTGAATTTCAGGCTGGTTGGATTAAATCAATAAGATCAATTTCAATCCAGATTCAGGTCAGAGTCTGACACTATTATTTTGATGACCCTATTAATTTTTCTTGATATCAAGAAAATATATACACCCGTCCATCTCCCTCACAGAACGGCTCTTGGCGGTGTACAATGAAAACATAAAAACCATATAAATATTATATTTCATTAGGAGGCAATTAAAACAAGGATAAAATTAATAAAGTTAAAAAGGCAGTGGGAAGGCCTTTAAGGTGCTAACTAATTTCAAGGTTGAGGAAGATTTACCCCAGTAATTTGTGACCTTCTCTGCTGGCTTCCCACTGGAGAAACCAACAGTGAAGATTGTAAATAGTGATTGCATGACTGTGGCATGCTACAATAAGCCATAAATGTGAACTGACTGCCAAGTACCCAGATCACAATCACAGGATTGCAGGGGTGCTGGGATCAAGGAGTTGTAATCACCATTCATTCACTACCATCATAACTTCAAATGGTTGCTGAACGAATTATCGAGTCAAGGACTACTTGTAAATATAAAATAAGAAAAAAAACTCCATATGATTCTAAATAAAAGTTATATATTCAAATAATAAATACAGTAATAGAGGGCTTACCTTATTTCCCCTGCCAGAGTTCTATATGTGCTTTTATAGAAACCATGAAAACTATCAGATAAATTGGCAGAGTACTCAATGCTAATAATGTAGCTCTGCTCAACTTGTAGAGGTTCAGGAGACATAAGTGCTATCTGCTCAAATGGTGGATATTCTAAAACCATCATTTCTTTAGCTGTATCAGTGCTGTCCTTGATGTTGTGGATAGTAGTTTTGGTTATCTGAAGATATTTGCTGTGAAGGATGACTGAACTAGTTTGCTCGGTTATTAAAATCTCTATTTTGGACAATCCAGTAAAAGATAGAGTTGTGAGATTTGGATGAATAAGGAGATCATAATGAATTGGAACAACATGCTTTGGAAGTCTAATATTATCCCAAGGAAAAGGATTGCTTTCATCTCTAGCAAATGAATATGATGTCCCACATAGAAAACTTAGAATGCTTAGCAGTAAGAACATTTTACTCTTCTTCAACATAAAAATCTGATCAGGAAGCAGCAATATGATCTCAGGATACTATGGGATCCAGAGTTAGAAATCTAATAAAGAAAAATAAATTGAGACAATATAAACACATGTTTATGAAATGTTGACTATCATTTATATGGTATAGTTTCAAAGGCGTTATTCTATATATTCTTTTCTAGCAAGCAGACTGTCTTAAAGAGTACATAATTTGGTGAACTATAGATTGCCAGAATGACACCTTAATATTAAAATATTTAGTCTGGTGGCTCTGCAGACTAAAAGCATTGTGATTAACACCAGCTGTCTGCAATTACTGTAAGTTTGAATCTCACCAGGCTCAAGGTTGACTCAGCCTTACATCCTTTCTAAGGTAGGTTAAATGAGGATCCTGTTTGTGGGGGCAATAAGCTGACTTTATATAAAATATACAAAAGTATGAAGGCTATTGCTTAACGCATTGTAAGCCGCCCTGAGTCTCCGGAGAAGGGCGGCATATAAATCAAATTTTAAAAAAATAATAAGGATAATTAATTTTAAGGCAAACTATACTTATTCACTTTTGTTAACATGTAAATGACAAGTCATTTATTTATCAAATTTATGTGGCCACTGATCTTATACAAAGTGATTCTGGTTGGCATACAATAAAACCAACAATTATAAACACCATTTAAAACAATTAAATAATTAAACATACATAAAAACTGGAGGGTGAGAGGATTAAAATTAGAATGTTGTGCGGCCAATGCATGAGCTTCCTGCTGCCAGGATGAACCCTAGCTTTAATTTTTTTTAAAAAAAAGCCACCATTTGAGGGCTCTTTGGAAGGCTATAAGGGTTATAGAGAAAGTGACATTTTCTAGGTCCTGTCAAATGGAACTCACCAGATGGGGCCCAAAATATCCTGCTAGAGGCAGGATTTTACACAGAGTTACAGTGTTGTCTATACAGAGTCTGAAGAGTACTGGGCCCACTGATACCCCACTGCATGCCTCTCCATGTGGATATAAACCCATGAATGATCATACAGTGGCTACAATTCAACCAAATCCATCTGGCATTTGGGACCATTCATCTCCCATTGTTTCAGTTTATGAAGAAAGAGGCTATACTCTACTTAGAAACAGCAGATAGTACTAAAAAGGATCCAAAACGTCCTGGCTCAAGATATCCTGTACCTTCGCAGTACAAAAAGTACCCATTTCTTTTTAATCTGTTTAATCATTTTTCCTTCAAAATAACATCAGCAGTGGCGTGAAGCGAACCAGTGAATTCCCTAAACTACCTATTGCTATTTTTAAATCAATAATCTGATTTCATCCTCCTGATTTCCAACTGAACTTTAAACATGAGCGTAGGTAAAGCCGTGCATTCCTTTCCTTCGTATCGTCTTGCAAGTTTATCCATGAGCCAAAGGAAATCTTCGGTAGGGACTCCCCGGACCCAAATGGACTCCGTTTAAATCATAAGTCATAAATTTATTTGTCAAGCATATATAAAACAAAACAGGTAGAAGTATAAACATAATTTGAATACATGAAAAGAGTAAATAAAAAGGAATATTAGGACAGGGACGGTAGGCATGCTGGTGCACTTATGCACGCCCCTTAATACTTATGAATTTATGAACGCTCCTTAATCTGTGCATGATATATGTACATATCCAATTTTCTAGCTTCTCGCGAAGAATGAATTACGACGCTCGGGTTCACACCATACGATACTTGCACGCTAAAGTGCGGTTAGTTGGTAGTTCAGTGTGGCGCGAAAACACAATGGCGGGGGAGGGAAGCGCCGTAGCAAAAGTCACCGTACAATAACCAGAAGCCACTGCTGGTTTTTCCTCGGTTCCTGTTACCGGAATCGTATCGGTTAAAGACGACGCATAGCGGCCGGAGCAAGCCTAGCAAACTGGGGACTATCTGGCCTAAGCCCTCAGACTCAGGGGTCAGTTCACCACAGCGAAAAGGAGCGGAAAACCCTCCGCCTCGAGAGCAATTTTGGAGAGCTTTGAAAGGCTCCAAAAGCGAGCATGCGTAATAGAGCCGTCACTTTCGATATTGAAACTTGATAGTTCGAGGGAGGGAAATTAGGCCTCGGCTTCCCAGCTGACGTCCTTTCTCCTGCCTCATTCCCTTCCACGAATGTTATTTCCCTCTCCTGCCTACGTTCCTCCTGCCTTAGGACAAGCCTTTAATAGGGACTCCCTTTTTTTTTTTACCTGCTCGAACCAAGACAGCCGCCGCCACCACCGCCGCTGCTGCCGCTCCTTTGCCACCCGCGCTTGACTTCGCAAGGAAAAGTGAAAGCGAAACGGCGCGGAAGGTGCTTGACCCGCTCAGCCTCTTGAGGCGCCCTACGCGAGCGGCCTTTAAAGCAGGGGTCTGAAGAAGCTTCTTGAATGAAGCGAAACGCCTTCAAAGAAAAAACAACAAGAAAGTCCAGTTGCCCCTGAAAAAGCATCTTTGGGACAACCGTGACTTGGATGACTGAGAATCTCTATAGACTTTTAGCTATCCAGTTTAGGATGAAAACCCTTTGAATGGTGTAGGAGTAGGAATGGATTTCCAGAGGAAAGAATTGCAAAGTACAGGAACCAGGAGCACTACTCAGGTGATCCTGAGGACACAGATAAACCTCCAAGTGCTTCAGGGACCCTCTAAATGGATGCAAATGACCAGCTGTCTGCAAGGAATATAAATCCTTTCATTCTCCACTATCTTGTCAGAGCTGAAGAAGCTTCTTCATTCCCAGCATTGCTGGCTGGGGAATTTTGGGAGATGAGGAGATGAAGTCCACCAGTATTAAAGTTCCCAAGGTTGAAGACCCGTGCTCTAAAATGAAGGGCAACAAATCTGAATCTTCTTACTGCTTGTTACTATGTTCGCTGTTTGTCCTAGTAGCACCAGTTTCATTTATTAGATTAATGTTTCTCTACCTTGGCCCCTTGAAGATGTGGGGACTTCAAGTCTCAGGATTCCTCAGGCAGCATCTCCTTGCATTTTCAAGTGGACAAAATTGAGAAACACTCATTAAACAGGGCCTGCTTTTCAGACACCTTAATCAGTTCTTGAGCATCACCTGCATGACATTCTTTGAATTAAACACTTTTTATTTGTTCACTCCACCAGAATGTTGGAAAAAGAAATTGTGTAAAGTAGCACAGAATTCTACCCCATCTCTGTGGGCAGGAAAACTAGCAGAAAAGAGAACTGGATGTGTTTGAACTTGGTATGGAGAAAAAGCCAGCAAAAGAATGATTATAAAACAGGCTGGATATCCAGCCGAACCAGACCAAGGCTAAGAGGAAAATGAATAAAGACTTTTTTGTAAAAAAACATGGTATAATTTTCCCATTTGGAAAAGGCAGTAGGGTGGCAAGTTGAAGTGTTGCTTCCAGCCTAAGACTCTTTCCTTCCATTCACTGACCCAAAACAAAGATAGAATTAAGTGGTTGGGAAGGGGAATCAAAAGTTGTGGTAGGCATAATACCTGCCTGCCTGCCTGCCTGCCTGCCTGCCTGCCTGCCTGCCTTCCTTCCTTCCTTCCATTCATTTTTAAACTGTCCTATCTCTGGTGGAGCAATTATTCCAGAAGATCACTAAATATCAGTGAAGAATTATAGGAGCTTTAATCAAGTTGGATTTTGAACTCATTCTGTTAGAAACTCATATATGTACAACCCCCACATGTTTATCTATTTTTGTAGATATTAAAATACCTAAATAGTGTATTTTTTGTGTTTATTTGCAATATTTTCTTTATTAAAAAAGTATTTTTTTAAAAAAAACACAATTGCACAGTAACTTCATGCTTACTGTCACAAGGGGTAGCTGTTTTGCTACTTTGGTTTAGTCAAGCACTGAAATTAATAAAAAGAAAATATTTCTGTAAAATAAAATAGAAGCAGAAAACAACAATGGTTTTATATTCAATATTTAATTTGATTTGGAAGAGTATTTCACAAGTTAAACATTTGAGGTTATTGCTTTTCAAAAGTTAAAACAATACCATCAATTTAAAAATACTAATAGGTACCCATAACAACACTACTACTCATGGCTGCAGGCAGGGCCGGATTTAGATGAAAAGAGGCCCTAGGCTATTCCACTTATGAGGCCCTTTCACCTATAGTGAAAGTGTAATTTTAATTTTGCTAACAATTTGAATGTAGGCCCCTCTTGATCTTGAGGCCCCTCTTGATCTTGAGGCCCTAGGCTGAAGCCTAGTTAGCCTATAGGAAAATCCGGCCCTGGCTGCAGGTAATTCAAATTATATATTTCACAAAAAATCTAGTTGTTACCAAAAATTAATATTTACTATTAGTCTGGGAAACACTAGTACATTTTCTTTACCAACCCAGAATTAAAGAGCTGCTTTGTGCAAATAAAATTATGTCACAGAAGTTAATCTGAACATTTCTTCCCCTTCATTTTATGTTCATCTGCTATTGGAAATCCTGTGGCTACCCTTCCAGGAATATCTTTTACTCTGCCAACAGATTTCAATAGGTTTGATTATAAGGAATGTGCTGTAAAAGTTTCTAAGCCCCATTTATTTCAGAAGCAGTTTTAATTCAAATTAATCATAAAATGTGCATTCTAAAAGATTGCCAATAGTCTTCATCAAGCACATATTAAAAGGAAGAATAGGGTGATGAAATTGCATCTTCAGCTAAAAAATGTGCAGTGGCTTGGCATTATTATCATGAATAAAATACAATTTGCATGTAAATATATTCACACTCCATATTTTCCTGCATGAGGATTCCTAGAACAGGACAAATTGTCATATGACAATTAGAGGGGGATAAAAAACATTTCCTGACATTTCAAAAAAATCTTTATTTTCTTCACTTATACAGAGTATATATCTCTGAGACGTCAAGATCAGAGTTCAATAGAAAGTTTATGAATATTGTCCTGTTCTCTGTATGGCTGGTTTTCATTTAGGATATGTACAGTAAAGTACAGAGATTAAAGTTTCCTTTCCTCAGAACTATTTCCTGAAGTGAGAAGGTCACAACATTCATGAATTTCAAAAGGGATCATTCAAACACTAAGGCATCATTAAACATTATTATTCTGAAATGGTTTTATGCTGTGGTCTTGTCAATTACCTGACATTAATCTTTTCCAGGGAAGAATGCAAAGTCAGTTCAGAGTTCATAAAAACTGTTCATCTGGGAGTTGTCTGTCACTGCTTGAAAGTAATTATGATTTTTCCCAAGGAATGAAGAGATTCAGTACACTCTGAACTTAAAAACAATAGAACCATTTGGGCTTTTGTACTGATATAAATACTTTCACCTCTGGCTATTTGGAAGGTTCAGAAATGCCTTCTTGGGAGTGAAATGTGATTAACTTATGGAACTAATAAAAATGTATGATTTTACACTTTTCTGCATGAATAAATATACTGTTCCTGTGTCCATGATTCATCTATGGTTTTGATTCAAATAGATAATCTTTTTTTGGACTGTTATTGAAAGGAATGACATTTTATATATTCCTAAGTAATTCTCCATTTTGGTACAATACTCTGAGACATCACCATACATCTCTTGAACATATAACTGAAGAAACACTGCGGTTGAATTCTGAAAGTTTAGATTGGAGTAGGTCTATGAACCAGATATTCCCCATTTCTCCATCCCTGAGTTTATTTTGGGAATTTACAACATAGCAGCTGCATATACCATCCCTTTTATTCTAACTAAGATAGTGTTTTGTGACTTAACATTGTATACCACAAAGAAGCTGTCGTAGTGCAGACTGTTATTTTGCATTTAACATTTATGTTCATTTTATGATTAGTTTCTTAAGACATCTTTTCTGTAGTAATTTTGATCTACAGTTACTCCTATGAATGTTGAGAATTTTATAATATTTACAAGATTTCTGATTTTTTTAAAAAAAGATTAAAACAATCAAAATCTAATAGTTCTAATGAGATTTTATCCATTTTTATTTTATGTTTAAATTATTTTCATCCTGTTCATGAAATTTTCAGAATTGTATAGCGCTTACCATTTGAAAAGGTGACTGATGCCTAGTATATTTACATGGTGAAATGATGCATGAAAACTAACTAAAGAGAGAAAAGTCTGAAAAGTTACAGGTTTGTCAATATTTTTTATGTAGTTTAAGATATAAGCACATCCTAATTTTTTTTGAAACATCTGCAATCAACAGTGAGTTAAATGACATGAGGAAGGAAATGATTGTTTAGTAGCTTTTATTTTGGCTGCTCATGTCAGTAGCTTTTAAATATATAATGTTCAACATTCATGGAAATAATTGTAGACCAAGATTATGACAGAAAAATTAATGTCTTAAGAAATTAGTCATAAAATGAACATAAATATTAAATGCAAAATAACATTCTACACTAGGATAGCTTCTTTGTGGTATACAATATTACTGGTAAGTGCCAATTTTACTTCTATATATTATGTCCATGTCAGTTATTCTGAATGAAATACTGTCTCTGGGGTGTTCGTATCATGACTCTATTGAAAATATCTTACAAACCTTAATGACTATTTAAATTAGAAAAAAAATCCACCTCCAATATTCTCCTTTCAGAAAAACTGACTGATAAGTATTGAAACCTGGAAACTTCCAGAAAAATGCAATAGCTGATTTGGTTCTTAGACTTCCAAAGATTCTCTTTCCTGCAGAAAGCTGATTGGTTCAACACAATGCATTAAGTATCTTTTTTCCAGCAAAAATACTGGGATTTGGAGCTGCCTCTGATGTGAAATTTTCTGGCTGTACATACAAGTTACCATTGACTTGACCCCAACCTTAATAAAAACATATTTGAGCATCCTTAAGGAAAAGAAGGAAATGATAAAATCTATACTTAGATAGTTAAATTATAATATTTGCTGAACAAAGATAGTGCAATTTTGATGTTTGTGGTGAAGCAGTACCATTCCTATAAATGTTACTGTAATTTCTGTCCTACGTATGTACCATCTCTTGTTACATCTTCTAATTTTTATCTTCATTAAACATTTTAAAAATATAAATAAAATTTCTGATGTATTCCTACAGATTTGTTTCAGCTTCAATAAAACAAGTCTGTGACTTTGGGAAAATGGAATTACCACTGAGATAATTACATTATAGAAAACTCAGATGTTTTTATTTTGAAATTTTAAACTACTTTCAGTGTGCTGATGGCTTATTTCAAGTAACTAATACAGTGTTACATATAGTACTTTACATGGGAATAGGTTCTACTGTACTGTAAACAATGAGCCTAACTTCTGAGTCAGAATGTATAAGATTTCATTGGA